TAAAAAATTCAATAGAGTTTGTAAAAAAGGTTAAAAACATTTCTCCTCGTAATTTACTCATGGTTTCTTTTGATGTAAAATCATTATTCACCAATGTCCCAGTGGAGGGTGCATTAAGATGTCTAGAAACCAGACTTCGCGAATTTCATTTCTCTTGCATCGAAATTGATGAACTAATTTCTCTCACTCAACTCTGTTTGAAACAAACACATTTTGTTTTCCAAAATAAATATTACAAGCAAACTGAGGCCATGGGAAGCCCCCTCAGTCCCATCCTAGCTGATATCTACATGCATTATTATGAATCAAAATTGTTTGAAACTTTAAACTTCCCGGCATGGTTCCGCTACGTCGACGATACTTTTACCCTGTTTGAAGGTAATAAAGATGATTTAAATAGAGTTCTTTCAACAATGAATTCTATTGATCCTGCTATTCAGTTCACTTTTGAACTTGAGACTTGCAATTCTCTTCCGTTTCTCGACATTCTGGTCACACATAACACATCCAACTTCAGTACTACAGTTTACCGTAAACCTTCATCGGTTTGCCTTCCACCACACTTTAAATCATGTCATCCGACTAAACAAAAGTTAGCTTCATTTTATTCCTATGTTTTCCGTGCTCTTCAAGTTTGCTCCTCCAAACCAGCCCTTGATGAAGAACTAAATTATTTAAAAGCAATAGCTATTATTGACAGGGGCTTTTCACCCAACATTATTAATCAAGCAGTTAAAAAATTCTCATCTCAACACACTAAAAGCCACACTCTTATTTTAGGAGATTATAAAAATTCTGTTGTCATTCCCTTCTTTCCATCAATTAGCTATAAGCACATATTTTGCAGAAATTTAACTTTCGGGTTGTTTACTCTCCCATCAATAAAATTCCAACTTCTATACTCAAGGACCTCATTCCGGATATGAATTCCTGGGGTATTTATAGGATTCCTTGCCAGTGCGGTTTAATTTACATTGGCCAAACTAAGAGAGCCTTAAAATTTCGCGTCAAAGAACATGAGGCATATGTTAGAAAAAAGGAAACACAGAAGTCTTCTGTTGCTCAACATTGTTGGTCCGAAAATCACACTTTCAATTTTTCTGCTGCCAAAATTATTCAAAAAAACATCTTCCATTGGAGAACTGGATTTTCTAGAGGCATTTCACATTCATAAAAATCTTTCTGTTCTAGTTAACGATCCTAATTCCAATCCAAATTTGCCTTCGGCTTTTAGAGAGAAGATTATGTTTTAGATCTGGTTTCGCCAACAGATGGCGCCACTTGCTTATTCTTGTCCAGGCTTTCTTATCTTATCTAAACATTATTTCCTATCTTGTTCATTTGCGGTTTTGCAGCTGAAGATGATGGTTCGGTAAAACCATCGAAACTAGTCCTGTGAAAATTTTGTAAATTAACGCTGATTTTTGTTGTTTGACTTCTGAATTAGCATTTTAATATTTTTAAAAATTTTTTAAAAAGCCAATAAATTTGTAAAAAGACGTTAATTTAAGAATTTACTATGATGGTTCAACAATCCCGATTCGCTGGTTCAATCACGTGACCCCTAGTGATCTCATCTCATGTAAACTACGCTACAAAAATCTAATTCTCTCAGTAATTATCTACATTAATTTCAAGTTAAATCTTAATTTGGAATAAAAGTTTAAATGCAAGAATTATTTCAATTTATACGAATAGCTTACTCAGAAATTATGTAAAACCGCAGTGCTTTATTTCGTTAGTGCATTCTCATTAGAACTGATGAATTTAACCCTTGTCTTTTCTATACTTTCGCCTTCGGGTGAGCGATTTCATTCTAATTGACTTAATTACCGCGAATAGCCTTAGAGCATAAAATTGAACTATCTAGTAAAAATTCTATGTAATGTATTGAAAGAAACAATCAATCTTATAAGAAATGGGTGGGATTTGTTTTGAAAATGAGACGTAAAACGTTACCAGCGAGGATATTCCGTTTGGTATCAGTTGTACCATTATTGGTGACTTTATCGTCTGCGCCGGCAAAACGGAAAAATATCATATATTGCTTATAAAGCCTCCAATAGCACCAATTTCTCTAAATTCCTATGCTAATTCTAATATTACATTTTGTACGTGCAAAAATGGATTAATAACACTACGAAAAGTGACAGAATTTAGATTTATTATAAGAAAATTTCTTTGTTCTTTAGACTCTTTTTCTCCATTGTGTTCTCTGTTTTTAATGCCAAAAAAAATCTTAACAAATTCTATTTTCAAGAATCTATCCCTATTTGCTATCAATGTAAATGCATTAGCTCATTGTCAGCATATAAACAAAGCAGCTGCAAAGTGCAGTAAAGTTTGAACACAACAAACACTGAAACACACAAATTCTTGACACAAGCCATTAGATTTTAAAATTAACAATATAAATTTAAAGTTAATATTAAAAGAAACAACAGAATATGCAGCCAAAAATAAGGATCTACACCTAAAGCCCACCCCCACCCCAAAATATGCTGAGATTCATGATGCTTGTTTATTATAAAAAAATGCACAAACACAAGCACATAAAATCCTTAAAATACAGCAAATTCCCTTATTCAATCAAATTATGTTATAAATATGCTGACTTTTCATTAAAAAAAATTATTTTCATATACACATAAGAAAAAAAGGTACTTTTTGATTACCCGCTCTACTGAAGAGTCACGAAATTTAGGAAGCAAAGCAGTATGTCACCAAAATAGTTATGTGGCAACCCATGATGATCATAAAAAGGATTTAAGGGTAACCCAAGCATGCATGCAACATGTTTGTTTCGGCAGGTGTACAATATCAGTACTGTACAATGCTGAGTTTATGTAATTCGCCTTCGTAGCAAATAGGAGAACATAGGAAGAACAAAAGCACAAAAAAAAGGGGAATTTCTTGAAAAAGGTAAATGTTTTATTTGCTTTTTTTAGTTTCACTGATTGATTGCTCTTATATAGAATTCTTAGTGCACCATCACTTTGAAAATAGCTCTTGCCTTTCGTGTATTAGCTTGGTTAAAAATTAGTTGGCAATAAGTTCACAACTTTTCAACAAAGAGGTGTGCAGATAATCAGAAAGTAAAAAAAAAAAAAAAAAAAAAAAAAAATCTCAATGGTTTCAGATTTTAAATTACACCTACAGGGCGTTTTTTAATGTTTTGTGTGTTACCTTTATTTATTAAATATCATGTTCTTAGCACTTAAGCCATAAAATTCAGTTCAATAGCAATGTCGCAAAATAATTTTAAAATGAGCATATATTTAGAATTTCCAACACATAGTTCCGTGCACTGAAGATAAGAAAGGTCTGCCCCCAGGAGGATTGCGTCATTCAAAATTCGATGGCTCTATATACCATTGTATTATCACAATGTGAGAAATATACATACATTTATGCAGATTTTTCATTATTTAATTTCTTCAAATAGGACTCTAACATTTGGTGGCAACAGTTTGAAAATGGATTCGCCATTTATAGTGATTCAACGCAAAATCGCAAAATGAAAACAATAGTCCTTCAAGGACAAAGAGCCTTTAGACTAAAAAAAAACAAAAACTGCTGTTAAATCTTTTATGCTGAATGTTCTGAAAAGTAAAATTTTGTCTGGGTACTTACATATTAACGCCACCACAGCAGAAGTTGCGCTGATGCGCCAATAAAGAGCAATCCTGTTGTTCACACGCAGTTTTTCTTTTGGATTCCTCCTTTTTGCCTTGTTGTTTGCTGATTTTTGATGCCTTTTTTTAGTGCTATGAAAATGTGTCTTTGGGATTTGCCAAACACAGAAGAAGATGCAATTTTAATTTTTCAGGAGCAAAATATTTTACCAAAAAAATTAAATTGTACCAATTTGCATGATATGAAACTTTATTTTGGTAAACGTACGTTTTGGAAATGTAATTTAAGACAGTGTGATCAGCAAGTGGGACTTAGAAAAGAAAACTGGTTTGAAGGAAGCAGAATTCCATTTTGTTCAGCTTTGAGATTCCTATACTGCTGGTGCAAGGAGTTGACGTTGATTAAATTTTGTGAAAAGCAACTTGATTTATCGGATAAAACTGTTATAGATTGGAACGTGTCTTAACGGATATGGAAAATAAACCAAACAAGAAGGTAGGTGGACCAGATTGCATTGTGGAAATTGATGAAAGTTTGTTTACCAAGCGTAAAAATAATTGTGGTCGAGTATTACCCGAATAGTGGGTGTTTCGTGGTACATGTAGAGAAACAAAAGATTCGTTTGTAGTCACTGTTCCTAATAGAACTGGCTATACCCTTCTTAATAAAATTATTGAAAACATTGCAGATGGTAGCACAATTTATTCTGACAGTTGGAAAGGTTACCAAACAAATAGAATAGAAAACGAAGGATTCTTACATGCTACAGTTAATCATAAATAGAATTTTATTGATCCTGATACAGGAGTTCATACACAAACAGTTGAGAGAATGTGGGGCAGTGCTAAATGGAGGAACAAGACATAGGGGGCCAGTGAGACAACATTTAAAAACTTATTTAGCAGAGTTCATATGGTGACAGAATCAGGTCAAAGAAAATAGAGACTGTTTTGAGTCTATGTTAAATTCTATATCGACCCATATTCCACTGAAATCTGATTGACTACTTTGATTTTAAATAAAGTGTTTTAATTTATGATTTGTCGCAAAAATTTTAGGTATAGATTGGCGGCACTTAAAAGCCGCCAAATCTGCAGCTGTGGTGGCGTTAATACGTAAGTACCTTTGTCTATTCACATTAAAAAAAAAAAAAAACAGCAGATTACAGGCATTCACTGATTATCAGAACTCTATAGCACTGCAAGACTTTGAGTTTACCCAATACTGCTGGAATAGGAAATTAAAACTTTATCACTGCATGCATTTAGACAAATCTAAACTTCTAAGAAGTGTCCATGATTGTAACAGATATTTTACATATTTCCCTCTAAAAATAGGCCACTTTAAGTTTAAAAGACACCAACCTTGTACACCAACTTCTGCTATCAGGAGATCAGGTGAAAAACGTGCAGATTCAGCAACTTTTCCATATTCATCTTCTTTTTCTCCATATGGGTAAGTAATATCAAATTTAACCAAGGCTGCCTTAAACTTAGAAATTGCCTGAAAAACAGTTAAGTTTCATATAGAGAAAAATAGAATAAAACTTTATTATGTCACTTTTTTCATGAAATAAAAGCACAAAATACAGTCTAGCATAAATAATTAAAACAATTATGGGTCATCAACTGTCATCATGGAGTGTTATATGAGAATCTGACTTTAGGGAAGGTCAAGCAATTCTGTTTATTCTGCTTTTGATTCCTTCACAGGAAAGATAAGTAATTTTGGCATAGTAATGGCTATGCTTGCAGGCACCAGAATAAAAGATATAGACAAAAGATCTGGATCAAAGAGCACTGAAAAACACTTTCTGTTTTTGTTACTCATAGCATAATATAAAATACTTCCTGTTTTTCTAACGAATCAAACTGCTTCACAGTTTACTAGTTTGGTGCAAAAGAATACATAGTGTTTTGAATTTTCCATCCTCTGTTTCACATTAGAAATGATGCTGCAGCGCATATTACATGCGATCCATGTAATGCAACAGTTAAAAAGGATCCTCAACAGCATATTGATTAGAAATTCTCTGACTCCCTTCTCAGAGAAGAGAATTAGTTTATACACTTTTTTCGCTATCAATAAAATAGCCCAAACACGATGCAATAGCGATGGGAGATCATTTATTTTTTTACACTGCTCCATCAGGCAAGCACAAGGACTGCTGATAGGGGTTATAAGTTTGTTCTTTAGATTTCGTTTACATGGGGGCCTTCAATTATTTTTTCTTTAATTTTATTATAATGGTAAGGTTTTGACATCATTCAGGACACAGACCTTGTATCGATCTCATGGCTGACTATATATGTCTAGAATGGACAGAAGGTTTGAAAACTTACCACACCTTATAATTTTTCTTTTTCTTTCAAGTGCTTGAAGTGAATTTCGGGTGGCTGGGTTTTTCATTTTCCAGCTTATTCATAAATAGCTTTAAAACAGTCCTGAAAAATCTGATGTGGACACCACGACTTCTTTGTATGCCCATTATATTACACACATCTTTCGCTACACTTCATTTAAGTGTATTTCCTCAAATTATTCTAACTTAATTAACTGATTCCTCAAGGTAAGTTGAAAGGTGACATAAAAAATTACAAATTTTGAAATTAAATACCCCTGTTAATTTTTTTCATACTTTTATTTTCTCATAATAAGTATAAAACTTTCCCAAATGTAAATATAGGAAAAGAACAAATTGGAAATTAGATTTCATTACTTGTCTAAAATTGAATTTTTTTAAATTTAAAACTGCAAAAATATGAATATTTTCAACATTTAAAATATTTCTGTAACTAGAAGCATATGCCTACAACCAATGATTACAAGTATAAAGGCTGGCTAGGGACTATTAAGCCAGGCAGAGTAAGTGGTACATATACATATATAGACAGTATAAAGTCTTTAATTCGGACGTCCATAATCCGGACCTCAAAGCTACAAACTTTTTGCACATACATAAACGCATGAGCATTTAATGTATAATGGATGGTATAAGCTAGGCTAAAATTATCTAATTATCTATTTCAGTTAATGTTGCATGTTGCATTGTTTCTTAATCTTCTAATTGGATCCGGCTTATTATTTTTTGCAGACTGTTAGAGCAATTTTATAAAAAGTAAGGTTGAACTTTCGATTACGTCAAAAAGAGTTTCCAATTCTGGAGCTGCCAAAGGATCTACAAAGCGAAAGCATGTTTCGATGTGAATTAAACAAAAAGTGAAATTGCTTTGGAAGTTGATCTATCAGCACTATCCTCATCTTCAGAGCAGATGTTTTATTTTATTCGGCTCATAATTCCTTACTAAATGTAGTGTTTCATCTCGATATATTCCGATATGATTTTAATCAATTTCGTTGTCATTATAAATCATGAATACACATCAAATAGTTTTCTGGTTGCAATTTTTGGCTAATCTTTGGAATATGGTAACAGGTAGTTTGGCGACATTTTGGTAAGGAGATAAAGGTTACTAGCTAGGACCTTAGCAGTGTACATGGATAAAGTCAAGAGTGTGCGCAATGCCATTTTTGTGCAATTCTGGAATTTTTTTTAAGTGAAAATAGGTCGACGTGTACATGGATGATACCGTGTATGTGCAATTCTTAAAAACGCGGCAAGCAGTTTGCGATTCTGCACTTTCTCCCAATTTTGAACCTGATCTTCGTCGTGATTAAGCACTTTTGTTCCATAAAAGTTCTAGCATAAGCGTAATTCGGCTAGCAGATTCTTGGGAAAAAAGGTTGAGTAAAAGAAAAAAAAAAAAAAATATGCCTTTACTTTGTGAAAGCAAAATGGCGTCCAAACAAACTAGCAGGTTGCTGTAGCAGGGTTGGTCACCAAATTTTCGCCAAAAAATCGTCAAGTTACCATAATCCAAAGATTAATCCAATTTTCTAATTTCGACTATGCGTAATGTATACTTTACGCATGCTCGTGTTAGAAGAAATGTTTAATAAAGTAAACAAATAAATATTAAGCTTTTTTTGTAAATTTTGATACCCTTTAGATCATAATTGCTCTTTATTTCATAAATTACGGTTTCATATTTTTAATTGTATAATTTCTGCATGCCATCTTACCAGATTTAAATTGATGATCTATAATCCGGAAAAAACCACCAATCCGGAATCGCCAAAATCCCGACGAGTCGGATTAAAGACTTTGTACTGTATATATGTACTTGGTTTTTACTGGCAGTTGCAATAGAGAAGGGAGGTGCATAACTAGATGTTAGAGCAGTCTCATACATAAAATTTCAACGTTCAATGCATTTTTTTGTTATGCGAGATACATACATACAGATGCTGGGGGGGAGGGAACGGTAAATCTTTACATTATGGTAACTTGGCGATTTTTTGGCGACCAACCCTGCTACAGCAACCTGCTAGTTTTGTTTTGGACGCCATTTTGTTTTCACGAAGTAAAGGCATTTTTTTTTTTAACTCAACATTTTTTTTCAGCAATCTGCTAGCCGAATTACGTTTATACTAGAACTTTTATGGACCATAAATGCTTAAACATGACGAAGATTAGGAGCGAAATTGGGAGAAAGTGCAGAATCGCAAACCGCTTGCCGCGTTTTTAAGAATCGCACATACACGGTATCCATGTACACGTCCACCTATTTTCACTTAAAAAAAACATCCCAGAATTGCACAAAAATGGCATTGCGCACACTCTTTACTTTAACTATGTACACATCGACCTATTTTCACTGAAAAAGTCAAAGAAAATTGACAAAATTCTAATTCTTCTTACTCTTGTAAAAAGCGCCAAACAAATAAGTGGGCGATTCTGCACTTTAGCAGCGAAATTGTTTCTAAGTGCTTATTAGCTACAGTCACGATCGGAATTTTCTGGAAAATGTCACATTACATGTCTCATGATCTCTTATTTCTCTAAGACAAAATAATCTGGGATTCGAACTGTGTACTTCTCAGATTATTGCTAAAGTCCTAGCTAGTAACCTTTATCGCCTTACCAAAATGTCGCCAAACTACCTGTTACCATATTCTAAAGATTAGCCGAGGGAACATTTAAAATCAATTTTACTATCCATTTTGGAATAAAGAATCCTTTATTCTGTTCATACATACAGATGTCATGCAAAAAAATATAAAAATAAAAAATATTCAAAATGGATATTTCCACTGAAATTAGAAACCTGAATTTTTTTGTGATTACAATACTTTCTTTATTTGGTACAAGGAGGTAAAAATGATTAAACACTGTTCCATTTTTCAAAATTTTTTCTATGGACAGCATGGAAAAGCAAGTTGTTAAGCAATGTAAATACAGTGACAGAGAAGAAACTAAATTATGAAAATTATCATGCCAAAGATGTTTTGTGAAAATGATTATGTCCAAATACATGAAATGAGACAATAGATTCAATTTATATAGTGATACTTTACAAAGCAATAAGAAATTTTACTTCTTAATAACCTTTACTTGTATAAAGCATCATCAATGCAAACTGAAATCATTAATATCAATCACTAAGAAACATTCAATACAAATGTGCCTTGGAAATTTATGAACAACTCATAAATTTTATTTGTTTAAAACACACGCGAGTTTTTTTATGACAATTAGGTAAAATAATTAATATTCAAAGCAAATAATCGAATGGCACAGTAAACATTCAAGATTGTAAAACGAAACTATCATGCTGATTTTATTTACACTGATCATATTAGTTGATACGTGATACAAATGCGATAAAATATTGGTATGTTAATGAATGATCGTTAAATAACACTTATCTCATTAAATACAAGTATAATTTCTTATTAGCAATCAATTTCCATAGTATAGCATTTTAAGAATCGCAAATATTATAACCAACATTTAAAGGAATAAAATACAAAAATGCTCTGCGACATATATTAAACACACATTTAATTTCTTTCGTTATATAGAAATACGTACTTTGTCAAAAGTCCATGAGTCTAGAGACACGGCTCCTTTCAAGCCGGTCCCTACACCAACTTTACAGAATAAAATAAATATAATTGCCAAATTAGCACAATATCTTGAGAACATGATTGTAAATGCCCTACACGATCTTGAATTTAATCATCCAACTAAATCGTAATCAAATGCATTAACTGCCCAAAGACACAGGCATTAATATGCCACAACCAATAGATATAATACCGAAATAAAAACAAATTTTGCGTTTTCCCTCAACTGTTGCCAATTCTGAAAGATAAACTTGTGTTTGTAGCCAAGCACTACGCTCTTCCCAAGGATAAGCCTCCTATAGCGGCCAGACAAAATCCCACTGGACGAAAGCACACGCGACAAAAGCCGCAAAAGCCCACAAAAAAGACCCCACTGTGATAATTGCCCACACGAGAAATATCTACATTGATGAAAGCGCACACTGATAAAACCCGCATTGATTGTTACGGAGAACACAGAAAATATCCGACATTGCATTAAAATAAAGACAAAAAAAAAAAAAAAACTTAATAAGCCAACACTTCTTTATTTTCATCATAACAGACGCTTACGCTTCCGAGATCAGCTTTCGTTTTGTCTACAAGCAAAACATTGGAAACACTCAGTACGCAGGCTCAGCGCCTCGCGCCAGTTATTACTCCAGTTCATTTCAAAACAATGATAAAAGCCCACACTGACAAAAACCCACACCGACATATATGCCCCGTTGAAACTAATATTTTTTTCCCTATTTTTATTCAGCTATACAAAGCAGATTCATGAAAAAGGTAAAATAAATTAATTAAATTAATAACAAATAATTTAACAATAAATTAAAGTAGTGGAACACATTTTATTTTGGGCTCCAGCTGAAATAAAACCCTATATGTACATAGAACAATGAATCAATCAAAATAATCTAATTAAAAGCATCTATCTACATGTATGTGTAACTTTGTTACTATATTTACGCGACAAAGGGAAGTATCCCTCGTATAATTCCGACAAAGGGAGGTGAAAGGGAATGCTGGCCGCAGTGGAACTTTGAATTTGATGACTCTATAAATAGATATTTATTTGATGTAGTTACAAAATTTTATTAGAAGTTATTATATGCATAGCTATTTATAATCTTCACAAACTCTAATAACAGGATACATATTTATTACTATGGTTTGAGGTGAATGTGCTTAAATTTGTAGATATGTGCGCCTGTCTTGAATTCTAAGATTTATTCCATCTCCCCTCCAAAAAAAGAAATAAATAAAACGAAAATTAAAAACACTTATATTCCGAACTGTTATGTGTGTGTATGTGTGTGTGTGTATTTAATTATGGCAAAGCACACGAGGGCTATGCCTAAGGGGAGAGGGTTGCCTTCGTGGAGGACTTTCTAAGGGAAACTGGCTCGTATACACGTTACACATGGGGAAAATCACGAAAACGCCCATACAGCCAGCCCCGTTCGCGGGATTCGAACCTCGGACCGAACTACCAGTGTTCAGCGACTTTACCGCTCGGCCGCTGGTGGGCCCCAAACTGTTATAGTTGAAAGATTATGGTGTTACACTTGGAATTCATTTTCTATAAAATCGCCAAATTATAATTATTACATTCAAAAAGTTTTCAATCAGAAATATTTTGAATTTTACTCTTTAAGCTCAAAGTAAAGAGTAAAATTCCTCTTAACCAAGTTTTCATCGTGCCTAATTACATAAAACTGAAAGGGAGGTGAAATTGAATGCTGGCCGCAGTGGAACTTTGAATTTGATGAAAGGACGCAGTGGAACTTTGAATTTGAATTTGATGGTAGTCGTTTCATCCACTTTGATTAGTCGTCGTTGGTAGTCGTTTCATCCACTTTAGTCCACTTTGATTAACTTTATGCTGAAAACCAAAAAGGAAGGAAATAAAATTCAATTGTTTTTCAATTAAAACATTGATAGTTTTAATAATAAAACTTGATAATATTTAATCTCAGTCATATTACTTTAAAAATAGCATGTGAGGAACTTCATAATGATAGTTTTCATTTTCACATACACGTACCAAAGTTAAATAAGTAAATAAATAATAAAATGCATTTTCGGGTTTATCAAATAAAATAAACACAAATAAAGAAGTGATAAAATATACAAACGGACATATTTTGGATATATTAAAATTCAGATTGAATACTCCATTTATTATAATTAAAATTATAAATACATTTTATGATGATAAAAATCATGTGTCCATTTGACTATATGGGGTTTTATTAGTGTGGGCACCTGCGTGGTCTTTTAGTCGTTTCATCCACTTTAGTCCACTTTGATACGCTGAAAACCAAAAGGGAAGAAAATAAAATTCAATTGTTTTTCAATTAAAGCATTGATACTTTTAATAATAAAACTTGATAATATTTAATCCCAGTCATATTACTTTAAAAATAGCATGTGAGGAACTTCATAATGATAGTTTTCATTTTCACATACACGTACCAAAGTTAAATAAGTAAATAAATAATAAAATGCATTTTCGGGTTTATCAAATAAAATAAACAAATAAAGTTGTGATAAAATATACAAACGGACATATTTTGGAGATATTAAAATTCAGATTGAATACTCCATTTATTATAATTAAAACTATAAATACATTTTATGATGATAAAAATCATGTGTCCATTTGACTATATGGGCTTTTATTAGTGTGGGCATCTGCGTGGTCTTTTACCAATGTATGCTTTTATCAATGTGCGCTTTCATCGGTGTGGGTATTTGCATGACCAACTGGAAGAACATGGCCTGGTTAGCTATAGAGTGACGTCACGGAAGGCGTCCGAGTCTTCCGTGACTTTGCATCAGGTTTGAATATGCGCGTTTCGTTATAATGTTTAGATTATTTTATTTTAAATATTGCACAATAGTATTAAATTTTCAGAGACTTATGCAGAAAATGTATAGAAAAGGTCTTTTATTCCTTTGTAGATTTATATTGATAGCTTAATAGGTATTATTTTCAGAAATATTCATGAAAATTTTCTATACCCAATGTTTTTACGATATTTTGTACAATTATTTTTATACTGCATTGTAATGACATTTGTTAGGATTTGCTGACAAAGCAAAGTTTTAAAATAAATAAACAAATAAAGGTTGCTATTTATTAACATAAATAAATCTTTACAGTTTTATTATTCTTACTTCCACTAAATACTAAAATAAAATTCTTTAGTGAATACTGCCGAAAAGTATATTTGCAAAATTTACTGTTGATTTCACTGATTCCCAAATTTTGCAGGCTTACTTCCGCAGCTATGAAGAAAAAGGAAAGGAATGAAAAGATTCTAAAGTATAACTAATTAATTGGACAAAATATAAACGCTATTTAACCAATTAAAAGACATAAAAGGATTTTATCTTATCATAGTATAATTATTTATCAATAAATTATTGCAGTTTTAATTTTAAGAATAACTTGAATGAACGATCAGTAATACTCGTATATCCAATGCTTTGAAACTATAAATATTTCAGAGCTTTCAAAAAGTGTGCAAATATATTTTTATTCATTCAGTTATTATCTATCAAAAGTCGCAGAAAAATAAAAATTTTCCCAAAATCCTCTTGGCATTTGCCTACATAAATTACATTGTGCAACATTACAGCAAGCGAATTATTACTAATGTAATGATATCTTTATAATCTGATAATAAAGAAGAAATCGTAAAAGACTGAACAGATGCTTCAATACCATTCTCAGAAAAGCCAATTATTTTTTTACCCTATTCTATGTTACCTTTTTCACTCGAACTTCAACAATATATAAATTCACGAATTGTTTATGTCCCAGTAATTTTTTACCTTTACATACTTGCAGTTAGCTTTATTGTTCGTTGATACATCAAGCTTTAACAGGCCAAGGATTTTTCAGAAATGGCTAGTGCATGGAAGGCAGATTAGTTGATTGTCATAGAGGCAACTATAACAAGCAGCTTCTTTAATGTATAACGATTTGGTTTGACTTGATTTAGTTTAATATTACAAAACACACTAGGGCTATCTGTCTGAGGAATGCCTTCGCGGAGGACTTTCTAAAGAATCCTGGCTCGTATACACGTTATACATAGGAAAAATTACGAAAATGCCTTTGCAGCCAACCCCTTCGCCTGGATTCGAACCCAGATCAAAAGTACCACTTTAGCGCGTGGGGGCTGGTGGGACAATGTATAACGAATATGCAAAACCCAATAACTTCTAGCCATTTTACTCTTACTACACATCTTCATTTGTTCTAAAATAAAATGTCCTATTCCTCAATTAAGGTTCTCAAGTGATTTTTATTCAATGTATGCTTCCTAGTTATATATTGGTAAGTCATAGTTCGATTTTAATGTTTTTAATTACTATTCGTTTGACATAACTATAAATGCTTTCAAATTCAGCCCATAAAGTCAGTTTAGTATTTTCATTTAATATATGTTTAAATACTCCCATTTCAACAGCTTCTTGCCCAAGAAACATTGCTGTATTTATATGAAGAGACACACAGATATTTTTCCCAATTTTAGGCTGCAGATTAAAACTGAGCAATAAAATATAAATTTCCATCAGCAGACTTTATGTGAAATTAAATCTGAATTATCTGAAATATTTAGTTTATTCCATAATGAAGAAGAAAAGTTCTCAAAAGATGCAATTTTGTCCTTTTCCAAAAAATCATTAAAAATATGTTTATCCATATTGGCTCTTTTTCCTCTGTGCTCGTCCTCGGAGATGTCGGATTCTCAGATAAGTATTTTGGACAACTAGATAAAACGCATCTAGAAATTCCGTTTTAATGTATTTTTTGGAAACTTGAATACTTGTATATATCGATTGGTTTTATTGTAATTCGATTTGAAGCCTGCAGCGCAACCTCGTGCAGGCATGAAAGTAGACTTAATACATTTTGGCTCTACATAGAAGTCGATAGCTATATTTAGTAACAAATACTAAAGAAATATGTAAACTTAACTATCAGTGTGAACTTAAAAACCAAAACAGCATAACTACTTTACTTAAATTACTTAACATTATTTAGTAATAAAAAATATATGAATAATGAAAAACCACAGTGCAACGCTAATGAACAGCACGCAAACTAACGTAGTATTTCTTCGCTTGCAGTGTCCAGTCCACAGTGCGGAGCGAAAGTTCGGACGCCTTTCGTGACGTCAAAATCCCATGACTTTGGCCAGGCCATCTAAATTCACGAAGGTCACGGTATTTGTCAGGTGATCAATTAGCATAGTGGTTTTTTTCCCCCTTATAACGGGGAACCGTTATAAGAAAGGTACACATAAAAGCGAACTCTGATGTAGTGCAAGGCTGCATGCCGAATCAAATGTAAATAAATTGTAAGTATGTTTTTGAGGCTTTGTTCTAACGAAACATGAGCAGCTTATGTACAGACCTGATTATTTGTTTCATTTTGGTGGCAGAGACCATGTTAGTGCTAAATATGCTGTAATTTTGAATTTAGAGGAAATTTATTATATTATTTAGATTTATTTAGCTAAAAATATTGTATATTAATATTAGAGTGTTGCATTAGTTTTTTAATACAATTGTATTCTGTTTCTCTATGGAAAATTGTATTATTTTGAAAATCATTAATATGCAAATAATTTTACACAAATACTATTATTTTCATTTTTGAAACGAAATTTTTAATGATAATAAGTTATGCAATAACCCTTATATGGCATAGAAAGTAAAAACTCAGAAGAGACATCCTTAGGAGATTTATATGCTTCAAGTCAGGAGGCCCCGAAATTCTTAAAATTAACCCTGATTATACAAGCACTGTTTTAATTACTTTTATATTATATTACACGAATACCTAAATGTGACCCTTTCATACATACTGTAATTATAGATGTTATTGAATGTGGCCATTAAATAAATGCAGTTTAGAGAATAATGCTAAGATGGTCTCAAGATGGAAAATTTTAAAAGATGATCTTAGGGAAAGAAAAAGGGGGAAAGGCAGCATTATCCTCAAATATAAGATGGGAAGTTGAAATTAAAAGATGCGTTATAAAATCAGGAATATACGGAACTAACAAGGACAGCGCAAGACTTTATCGCCGATTATATCCCAATTCTGCATAATTACAGAAGATCGTGTTGTTGTTACTTATGCTAACTTGTCTGACCGTAACATCAGCCAAGCTTACGAAATTTCTCGTGGCAAGAAGCGCAGCATATGCCTGTCGTTGGCAAAACCCTTGAGTATCATGCAGGTGAGAGTGCGATTTAGCTCAGTCCCGCCCCCAATTTTGATGAAAAGCACCCCGGAGGGATGGGTTCGAGGTTATCCCACCCCTCTCTCCTTCCACAAACCACACGAGGTGACATTTGGCTTGCCGCATTTTTGGAATCTCGCCATGCCGCACTGACACTAAACATTTACAAACATCCCTGCTTTCTCCGTGACTCGAACCCATGCCCTTCGTCGCGGCAGTCAGCGACGCTAACCACTATACAGGTTCGGCGCCACAGAAGACCTTAAAGTGGATGTACATGTAAAAATAGAAAACATTTATAAGTCGTGTATAAAATTGTGAAAAATACATTATATTAAAGCAAAATAATAAAAGGTTTTCAGTAAAAACGTCTTGCAATGTTTCAATTTTTACTTCATTCTTTTAAAACATATTTTAAGAATAAATTTTCTTTAAAATGAAATAATATTTAAAAAAATAATAACACTAATAAAAATGTTTTGAAGGAAGAGGGATTTGATTTGAGAACTTCGTGTTAATAACTCCATAGGATACCGTCATTCTATTCCCCATATAGGCCGAATAGATTGATGGTATCTAGAATTGGAATAAAATAAATGCTGCTTAGAACTTTTAATTTCGATCTTCTCACTTATTTTTTAAAAGTATGCGTTATCTCTTTACACTTACATTTAGTTTAAGGTCTTCTGTAATAAAGTGAAAAATTTGTGAGACAAAGGTCATGCTCTCTTCTTGTTAGGGTGAAATCCGTAGCCCTGAGGATGTGGTAATAATAAAGCCTTGGTAAAGTTGTTTTTTCCAATTGTTATGATTATAGTTCTTAAACTAAGTAGCAATGTTGCTCTTCGCGACTTCGTAAAATATCCCACCATTAATTCTTTATAGATATTCATTAATTTGTTCAATTTTTATGTCTTTGCACAGAATGCTGTTTTTAATGAAATACTGCGCAAATTAACTATATTTACAGGCTTAAACGCCCTTTACCTTCAACTAAAACAAGTCTAACCTTTAAGCTTGACAGACGTATTTTCGTCCCCGCTTCTACTAAAATCTCAGAGGAGAAATTAGCAGGACAGAAGAATAAAATAAAAAACTAAAATTTACTGTAGATTTTAACGTGAAGTGAAAAAAGAGCTTAACGCTTTACCTCTGTTCCTACTAAGAATAATAGACAATATGTAAATTCAGATACGTATAATTCACAAGCTAAAATCTATCTAGTACCCTTCTCGGTCATTTTTACGAACCATTTACTGAATATACATCAGCAAAATAGCAGCTCACCAGTGCAGAGAACTACCACTCGGATGGTATACAACCAAAAGAGTTGCTTTAAGATGCTAGCGATAACAACTCTTCCTTTCTATTAGTTTAGTGTCTTACTCTAAAACTCTTCTCATTTATATATTCTGATAGAAGCAGAAGGAACGGTAGAGTATAGGGCAGATTTTAATATCTTAATTAAAATAAACAGCACACTGTATCTTCAGAAATTTATTCTTCAGCTCGTTTAAATCTCACTTAATTCAAATTTTTCATCATAGTGAGGCGTAAGTTAAGATAAGCTTAATGATTGCTGTATAGATGTGTATCTAAACAGAAAACAAAATTTGAAAGAGGCTTAATCATAAAATAGATGGACATACTTTTGCATACTTTGTCCGTTACGCGTTTGATATGAGTGTTCCAAATAAGGTCAAATGCAAGTAACGTTATCTATATAAAGAATTTAATTTAATAATTTGATACCAAAGGTGGATGAATTATTTAAAAGATCATCCATGTTCAGGATGACTTCTACATAATTAAACTAAACTATATTTGGTATCAACTGCCCAAATATAGTTACTTGTTTGCCCAAACATAATTACAATTGCTTTGCGTTATGTACCGCAGATTCCGTCTGATCTGCTACCTCGGCAATCAACTGTGTTTGGCTGATGCGTGATTTTCTCCGCTAACTGGACTGAAAGCTAATATATATAAATGAGGTTGTGTGGTAATTAGATGATATAGTCGCATCGAAATTTTAACAACACATGAAATGGAAGCACATATGTAGCATAATTAGTTTGCCTGTATTGTATATTGATGAAACACTTTTTCATATAAATCTTTATTTTTCTTACATTCACATTCACAAGACCATTATTTACAGTTTAAAAACATAGACAAAACAGCTAGTTATTCGCTTTGGCTCCAGTAGTTCATTGGTTTTCCTTAGAAATATTAATAATGAGCATTATGAAAAAATGCACAATGCACTGACGCTTTAAGGAGTTCACTATGCATTACAAATACTAAAGCATGATTTCCATAGTTTATGCATTGCTATGAAGTTTCAACTCTAAACTTAACAAATATCATTGCATTCAACTCCGTTAGCTGTACATATACAATGGCTACAGGGACCACTTAAAATTTCAACTTGATCATTGATATTGAAAAATTTGCCATAGATGTTGCAACCTGTAATTAGTAAAAAAATATTACTAGAACATCTGTTACATATTGTCAAAATTGCAGTATTGTTCAATGTTTACAAAATTAGAGCATTTCATAATTTTAAAAACAAAGCTGAATACGCATATCAAAACAAATTATACAGGCAAAAATCAACAGCCGTTTTATTGAATAACACAGCAAATCTTATTTCACTTCAAAATATTTCTTAGGTTATAATTATTTTAAAGAAAATTCAATATGTTATTTCCCACCCACTCAATTTAATAACATTCTGAATCATCACATTTATGAGTCCGTATTCGATTTCAGAATTGTTCCTGTTTCACTAGCATGATAGACCTCAGCCCAACCATATTAAAAAAAAACTGTCAAGGAATACAAACTTAAACGAGCACATTTCGTACATGCAGTATTACATCATTATTCTGAAAATTAACTCAAAACTTTATTTAACATACAGTTATTTTTAGTAAGAGCTAAACCAGCAGAATAAAACTAGAGTGGCATTAGAAAGCATAGCTTTTTCTAGAGTTATATAAAAATCTAATTACTTTATTATAACATCATATGAATTAATACTTAATTTTATGAGCTTGAAAAGTACAATTTAAAAAATTAAGAGTACAGTTTAAAGAATTATTAATTATTACATTATCGCATTATTGTCTTGATTTCAAGTGTTATAAAAAGGCATTCTTTAGTGTAACAATTTGCAGTCAAATTTGTTTCGTCTAGAAACACATAATTAAGCATTATTTCATGAAATGGAGAGATATTTTACATAACCTGTAAAATGTTTTCAGTATTCTGGAAAATATTCACATTATTTTGAGAAAGAGAAGTCTTTTAATTATTCTTTACATATTTTTGCGTCGAATTATCCATTTCTTTTATTTTTGTTGATCGTATCCTAGCAATCCACAAAGCTATCATATTAGTATATGGTTACAGATGTATGGTTATCCATGTAGCTCATCAATATTATATGTTCATTAGTTTTGATCACTTTCTATTTTAAATTACCATGTGCGGACCGCCAAAATATATCTTTCCCTTATTATCTCTTCATTTATTATTTGATAGTTTTGTTGCAAGACTAGATCACCTTGGCGACATTTCAGATCTTCAAAACTGAATTTTTGAAACTTTTTTTTGTATGTAGCCAAATACTGCTATATGGCGATTATAGCAGTATACTGCTTTATTTTTATTATACAGAATAGTAGCAGTTAATCTTTTTACTATGATGTATTTCTAGATGAGTAGATTCATAATACTTTTTTTTTCCGAAAATCTAAGAGTTCAAGGTTGGAAGTCATTCTTTGTGACGGGTACATCTGAGACCACTTTTATAGCATTTCAGAAGTCACAATACATAGGAGCAGACTGATATAATATGAAGACAGGTAAATCACATCCAATGTGCGGAAAGAGAGCTATCTGAAAGAGCCGTCCGTTAAGTAAAGAAATATAAAGGAGCAGCGACCAGATCATCTCAGAATTAAATGAATATCTTATTTAACCCGCTTTCACCAATCCCTTTGTAGAGTCATTAATTTTTTTTTTTTTTTTTTTTTTAACAGATGTGAAAATTGTGCAGTGCCTTCGCCGGGACTCGAGCTCTGGACCTCTCGAATACGCGTAGAATACGGTTGAAATTACATCACAAAGGCATGCAGAAAGGAGGATAAAAATACCTTATAAATTTAGCTAGGAGTTTCACAAGGTAAATGGTCAGGCATGGCTTGCAATAGCCAGATTCTAAGTCATCAGTGTCTATACCAACCATCAGTTTCAAAGGGGACTGTATTAAAATACTTTGACTAAAGCATACGAAATATGCGTTGCTGTCCAGTTAGTCAATCTTGATTAGTCTGTTAAAGGCTTTCAGGGCAGAGAAACACAAAAAACAAACAGTGCTCCTTTCGAGTCTCGAGCTCCAGATCTTCCAGTTTGCTAGCTGGATCTACTAACTATATATAGGACAGAAATGCCCACGAGGGAAGTTCGATGATTCCTTAGACAATTTTTAAATGTAATTTCCAAGTAACAAACAGAAAAAAACTTACTTTAATACTTTAGTATTAAGCTCCGTTAGAATCTAGTATTAAGGTTATGATTAATGCTAGAAAAATAAAAAAGTAAGTTATCGACAACTGAAGTAGAAATTTTTAGTCTATCTTGCTGTGTCAGTAGTGCTTTGAGCAATTCTATCAAATCGGCACAAGCTTATTCGCGATGGAATGTTTAAGAGATATAGAATAAATTAGTGCATTGTGAATATTAATTAAAAATATTTTTAAATGATTCCACTATTTAGGTTTGGGAAAACGGCTAGTGTTTATTATTTTTAATAAAACTAATAAATTAGAAATGGTAATGGAATATAATAATTAAAATGCTGTATAAGTCAAAAACGTTCATTATACTATTCCTAGTAAAGAATTAAATGACTTTAATAATGTAATAAAGAAATTTACCGTTCTACAACGAAGCCTTGACATTCCTTTTAATGATTCATTATGTGGTAATGATGGTTTAAAAAATGATACTTATAAGATATATCTGATTCTTAAAATCGCCTGTCATCCTATGCAAATAAATATATGTGTATCTATTACTACCATTCATAATCTTTATCGTAACAAATCGGAGTCGATTTAATGCTTATAAGCATGAGGAAATGAAGCTATGCGCAGCCTGGATAAATTATTTGTTACAGAGAAGCACGCTGCACATTAATTCATAATCATTTTACAGGCAAAAAGTTAATCTGTTAAAACTGGGAGGGGGGAACTACGGGTTTCTATCTTATCTTAAGTTAAATGAATTCATCAATCACTTATTTTCCTCATTTGGTAATAAATATGATGCTTACCAGATACTTTAAATAATCCCCATGGATCTGGAAAAAGAGGAGTATGTGTTGTGGTAGTACTAGAGGTAGTAACAGGACGTGCGCTTGTAATTATGCTGCTAGTTTCAGGCTTTTGAGTGGTTGTCCTTACATAGTCTGGTCTCTTACTGGGGTTGAATCGCATATTGCCAGTTGTTGCTCTAGTATATTCGGACGGCCAGCTAGTTTTTGTTCGAATATGTTCAGGTATTTTGCTAGTTGTTGCTCGAAAGTATTCTGGCGTTTTCTTAGTTGTTGCTTGTACGTACTCTGCCGTCTTGCTAGTTGTTACTTGAGGAGCGACTGTACTGCTGGTTGGTTGTTGAACATAGTCTGATGTCCTACTTGTTGCTGTTCTTGTATGATCTGATCTAGTAGTGGATCTTTTAGTATCTGGTTTGGTGGTTGTTGTTGCAGCTTGATGGAGGGCAGGTCTAGTTGGTCCTGGAACATGAGTAGGTCGAGTACGAACACGAATACCATACTTCACTTCTGACTGCTTTTCTTTTTCTGAAACTTATAAAAGTACAGCATAGTAAGTGACACATGCTATAAAAGAAATTAAGATTTATTGAAGCAATCTAATTCGCAAGTATTAAACATACCAGGAAGAAATTTAACTATTGAAGTTTTTGAATACGAGAACATGTGATTTCAAAAATATACACGGAAGATTTCTTAAATCATCAAAATTTGATTACATCCAAACTGATTTGTTACGACGCACAGTGAATTAAAATTCTACGCATAATGAAGTTACTTCGCATATTGAAGTATTCTTTTGGGAATTATTTCCCAATAACTAAATGTCTGCAAGTATAATTTTCGAATTTTTGGGAAAAAATAGGAAAACTTTCTTTATTAGGTACATCTCTTCTAACTCTTAATAAGAAAAAAGTACGTTACCTTTGCATTTTTATTGTAAACAGTGCGCCAAGTGCATTTGAATTATTTGACTTATAACATTAGGGATGAGTTATACTGTAGAACAGAAACAATCTTTATTTCTAAAATCTGCCTCTCTGAAATCATTGATAAATAATTTTAGAGCAGCAAAGCCGAGCAAATATAATATTAAAGGCTATTTTATTTTGCTGGAAATTTTCTATCATTATTATTATAGGATAAAGGAAAAAAATTATTTGAAATCCAATTGTTCATATTTTTATGTTTTGGTTTTTCAGTAAAACTAATATTATCTGTACTTTAACTAACATTATAAGTTATTGAGATGCAAAGACTGAAACAAGAAAAAGCTTTTCATGTGCACATTCTTAATTCTTATGTATTAAATACTAATTTAAATGTCTGGACCTGGTTTTTGTGAAATTTCTCTATCCTTACACAAGTCTTCATATTTTTATTTGTAAAAATATATAAAATTTAGATCTTATCAAAATTAATTAAATCTAAGAATTTTTATAATTAGTTTTATTATTTTCAGAGGAATGCACTTCATCTCTGCAATTATTGCATTGAAATGGTATTTCGCACATTCGGCGTCGTATTTTTAAAGAAGAACAGCTTTCATAGGCTCTAAATTGAAGAGAATTTCTGTCAGGAGGAAAGGGCAGTTTTCTTCCTATCAGTATTTCAGTATAATGGTCCTTTTAGTATAATAGTTTAATAACAGTAACGGTGTTTCAAAATAAATATTATTAATAATTGCAGGACTAAAAGACACAGAGGTTTAAAAGCTTCTTTTTAACTGTCCGATAATTTTTAGTCGCAGACGCAAGCCTTTCCGGAGATCATAACATAATACTGAAACAATTTACGTTTTAGCTATAATTCTGCATTCCGAAATTGTTCAGTTTGAATTAAATAACTCCACTTCGCTGGAAAAGAAAATTAAATATTTGGGTATGAAGTTTCATGTTGATACCCTAAAGAAATTTTAATATAACTGGACTGTGCTAGATTTAGTACTATGATTGGTTACGCATATGATATGAAGGACTTGATGTGATGCAAGTGATAAGACTCCACTGTTAGAATTGACATGACAGCACTATGATATTAATATACTGTTATAGGAGTTACACAATAAGCATTCAACTTTCAGCGAATTCTTTATGTTTTCCCATTGTCTGAGCTAGACTGTATCTATTACACAAAGATGCCTTATCTCCGTGTTCTTGCACTTTTCTATATATAAGGTAGAAATCGATATAAAAATTTTATTTTATATCAGTTTCACAAAAGAATTTTATATACGCGAGAAACTTCAATGAAATCAATTTCACTGTCACAGTAAAGAATAAAAAGACACTTACATTTTAATTTAAGATAAAATATTTACTCTGGAACTGACTAATGTTCGAGAATCATAGAATTAGGCTTTTTCAAAGATAACTGAAGAAGTAATAACTTCTTCAGATACTGATGATTCAGGGACTCTTAGAAAGATTGATAGAGATTAATTGAGCCATCGATATTGGAATAATTTATCTTCAAATATAATGCGCATTCAGTCTCATCAGATAGCCTCATCAGAAAAAATCTCATCCAATTGGATATCTTTTTTGATGACTTTCCAGCCTCATGAGACAGGAAACAAGTTGGTGCCTTCACTATCCTTGAAATGCACCAATAAGCTCAAGTTCAAATTACTAAATGAAGTTCAAATTACCTCAATGTGCTTTAGACCCATTGCGTTTCTAGGCGAGCCCATTCTGCTTTTCGTTTTAAGTTGCATTGTTTAATAAATTAAGTGGTATATTCAATCCTTTACTATAAAACAGTTTTTGTGTCGAATGATTTTGCGTAACTGAAGGAAAATGTTAATTTTTGAGCATGTTTAAGTAAGATATGCAAACATTTAATATAAAATGACTTTTGTTTTGAGTAGTTTTGCCCATCTATACAGTGATACAGATCTTCTGAATAAGTTAAGTGAGATATTTAGTCATTTATAAAATAGGTTTTATGCTGAATGATTTTGCTTAACTTTAGGATAATGTAAATACTTTGAACAAATGAGTAGCATTCAGCCCTTTAGTCATGTTTGTCCAAACGACTACATTGAACTGGTTCAGAAACAAAGAGATTAATTGATTGTTTAGTCATTCAGGCCAAGAACCAAAATTTTTGGAAACGTTTAAAGGAAATTTATCCCTAAATCGGTGTAGTTGGTTGGACGTTATTTTGATGCGTTTCGGACAGAGCTATTTCTAAGGTTTATTCTAATTAACATGTTATTTCATATCTTAAAAAATGGTCTTATACTCTTACTTTTTCGTCTACTCTGCCAGAATATGCAAATGACAGGAGTTTTAAATAGCAGTAGTATTCTAAGGGAGAAGACAAGCAACTTCAGTCAGCGGTCAGTTCAGTGTAGTCAGCGGTAGCCAGTTGAAGCTCCGCTGTTATCCGGCCGTGAGTGTTATTGCTAGCCACTTGGAAGTTTCCTCTCTTTGAAAATTTAGTTTAGGAGTCGTTGCGCAAAACCAGGTGTTAGGACCTTGATTTAAACTTTTGAATTGTAAACTATTAAATTTATTGTCGTCTATCGCTCCCTTGAAAAACAGAAATAATTTTTTGTTAGTTTGTTTCTGTATTTTGAACGGATTAAAATTCTGTAACAAATCTAATAAGCTGTTATATTAAAAATTAAACAATTTATTTCGAACTGAAATCAAAATGAATTGAAGTTGCTATATTTCTGTTGTATTTACTTAGTGTTCTGGTCTGACAGTAAAAAGGGAATGAAAATTCATTTTGCCGTCGGGATGGTTAGGCAAGTATTTATATTAAGCCAAAACTAATGTCAACCATATGCACTGAAAACTAAAGATTAAACTTTAAGTTAAAGCACTCATTAAGTTTCAGATATCGTTTATTCAGGGTTGGTCTGCAATTAGATAAGAAAAAGTAGTTATTGACGAACACTTTCCGGTCATTTCCCGTAATTAGATTGTTTCGTTAAGATAAAAACATATACGTAGATAAATTTGAGAACAACTTACCATGTATTTCTGGTCTTTTAGTAGAATTAAAGATCTCAGAATTCGATTGTTTGTTAAATGATATCCTTTGCTTGTTAGGTTGTTGCTCACTAGAGCTGGAGTTTTTACCTGAAAAATAAATTTTCTTAAAAGTTTATCTTGATATTTTTAGGGAATGTAACGCATAAAGTTGTGAAGAAATCACTAACCACAAGTGAAACGAGGGCAACAAAAGCCGGGTAAATTTTCAGCAACACAATCCGGAGGCGTTGGGCATCTTTGAAGCTGGCAAAGCTCTTGTCCGTAGAAACAGCGGCACAGTTCACAGGGATCTGTCTTTGGAATCATTTCCCCATTTGTGTAAATACGGCCCTTGATGAAACAGAAATCTGTGAATAATTAAAAATAAAGTTTTGAAATAATTATTTATATTAAAAATTAAACAATCTTATGCTAACTTAACTCAATTTTAATTACCTAACTCAATTTTAGTAATTAAGTATCTAAATTTTTTTTTATAGATCTTATTTTTGCTTTTACCAATAGGAATATTTTTATTATAATCGTAACGGCATTATAAATTATGAACGACTTAAAGGAAGTTGCTAACTATCAATTTTGTTGAATTATGAAAATTATACATGCAGCTAGTAGAAAATTCTCTAACAGGTTATAAGAGATTATCGCATTCTCTCGTACTTTTTCTTGTGGTGTAAGTGGTAGCACGTCCGGCTAGTAATCGCAAGATTCATGGATCAAATCCTCGCAAAAGCATATTTGCTTTCTCATGTTTCTCACCTCCGAAAATGAAATGTCCGTGCAGTGGCGCCATACTAATATATGGTGAGCGATAATTCATCCCCACCTCGATTTGACTGACTAGGTCTCAACCTCTTAACAGTGCGGAAGAATATAAGATTTATTGCATTATAACATCAGTGCCTTCATGATGTAAGTGGTAGCAGGTTCGACTAGTATCGGAAGATCCATCGAATCCCGGTAAAGGCAGCACTGGGTTTTCAAGTTTTTCGTTGTGAAAAACCTACTAATCTGTAAAAGGTTTACATCTGTAACTGTGAAAAGCGTTGCGTTGAAGATTTTTCTGAGCAACGATTTTAAACTATCCAACCAGTATGAAGGGAAAAATCGATTTTTTATCCTTGTTATGTATATAATTCATTTTAAGGATAGGGTTTCCAATTTTATGAACACCCTATGTTATAATGCTAGGTCTTACATAATTTTGCCCCACTGTTATTTTTCATGTTACTCACTTTCCTATTTTTCCTGATTTTCTGATACACCCTGCATTCTAGATGTGGTGTGACATTTTAAGTTTAGTATTCTTTTTTGTAGTGTTAATAAGATGTTAATTCTCTGGAAACTGATTAAATCTGTTTAAGTGTTTAAATGAGACCAATAAACTTTAAATTAAGTATAATCTAAAAAAATAAATATGGGCCAAAGCATGGCAAAAATTGGTAGAAACCTTTTCAGTACCTGATAATATTATCTAAGTTACGGTATAAAATTTCAAACTAAACTTTTAAAAAAATTAAGTTTTATATGAAACTCTGAATTCTAAAAAACTGGAAGCTACCCAAGCCAAATGCTATGTAACAATCACTACTACACGTTACATTATGTCGGTTACCTCTCAAATAAGTTTCAAGCAGACTAGAAAGTGCGGGTTAGAGTATTTTAAGTAAACAGAGTTTTGGCTTGAAAGACCCATACTCAGTTCCCTACCCGAAAAGAACTCTAGAAGCTGGCTAGCTTCCTGTGCATTACCAGTTAAATATTGCTATAGACTGAGTGTAAAAAAAGCAACACTGATTGACGAATATTTTAATTTAGTAGAAGCACTCTCAGCGATTTCACGCTATCGCCATCTTCTGTGGCAGTTGAAGAAGACGAAATGATTGAAAGAGATGCAGCTAAAACAAAAACTATGTCAGTCGACGTTGTTTATCTTGTTCTTAGTTTTACTTGGTATGCCATCCTTTTCCCTTTATATAAACGGTATTATTTCACACATTTTTATTGTTTGACTCATTTGAAAACTTAATGAAATTTTTAAAGATTCTTTCGGTTAAAAATATATTTAGCCTGGAATTATTTTTCTAGTCTCTTCTCAGAATCGCTGTTTTAAGATAAGTCACAAATATTCCTCAAAGAGTAAATAAAAATAATCAGTTAAATGTATTAAAAGCTATGAAATGAAATTGAGAGAAAAGGAAAAGATTTTAGCAATTTTATTTCCTTTCGATTAATGATAACTTAATTTTAGGCTTCAGCAACAGCTTGTTTCCAAAATTTAAAATTTATGATACCTATTTTAATGGGATTTTAATTAAATTTAAAGAAAGATATTTTCCTCTATTTGTTTTCACAAAATACATAAACTCATACGTGCCTGAAACGATGTCTGGAAGTCCTTGAGTTGTTTCTTTGTTTACAATGAGGGTATGATTCCCAAACTGCCCTCGGATGGCATCCTCTGCTACAAATGGGATGATTTTATAACCTTGTCCTGCAACTGACAGATTTAATGCATCTTGAATTCGAGGTTCTTTTCTTTTATCATAGTATCCAGTTTCACTATCTGATGCTTCGGTTGGAGTGTATGGGTTTGAAGATGCATTTTCCATCTTGTGTCTTCCTTCTAAAATTAAACGATCAATTTCTTCTCGTATAATTGGGTTAATATCAGAATATTTTGGATCCATGAATAAAACTCCATCTCCTTCAACGATTTTATCATCATTAATATTATCATGCCTCATATCTATCTTTTTTTCTAATCCAGCAACAGACATAGGTGCTCCTAAATAAATAGAACCTATATTCATAAAATCTGACCCTCCTTCTTCGGGATTAAAATCACTCATTTCTGATGGAAGATACAGGTTAATTACCGAATCATTAGCAACTGAGGAAGAGGAATTTGATGATGAATCATTTTTATCATTCGCATTTTCTAATAAAGAGGGTAGTTTGTCATTCGTACGATTAGGAAACTTTTCTTCTGAATCCATAACCGTACTTTCTTCTGAATCCATAACCGTACTTTCTTCTGAGTTCATAAGTGTACTTTCTTCTATGGCGGTAACCGCAGACTTCTCAGCTGCAAACGTGCTTAAGGTAGGAAAATGTTTATCAAAATTCGATAAATTTGCATTTTTAGTAGTAGATAAAGTAGTTAAAGTTAAATCAACTTTTGGTAATTCACTTATAAAACTACTGTCATTGAAATCTTCAGCTTCGAAACCAGTGCTTTTGATTTCTTCCAAATAATCTGTCGCAAATGGCAGTGTCTGATTGATATTTTTATCTTCTGTTGAAAGTGTTTGCGTGCTTGAAATTTCCTCAGAATTAGTTGTTTCAGTTGATATTTCATGAGAAGTACTATTGAAATCATAATTTAAGCCGTTGTTTAAAGTTGTATTAATCTCTTCTATAGAACTCATTGTTGGTTTAGTTGTTTCTGAATCAAATATGTTTATTATATTTGATGGCTGTTTTGAATTATTCCTTTTTGGTTCGAAATTAAATTTTTCGGGTTTACTGTCTGAGTTCACCGGATGTCTTGAAAAGAACTGTTCAAAAAGCTCTTGAATGGACATTGTCTGCACTTCTGGTGAACCAATAGATACGGTTGGTATAGTGTCATTTACTTTGTAGTCATTGACTGTTATTCTATCTGTAGGTGGTTGCGTAGAAACGCTGGGATGTACTTGTCTGTTATAGTCAACTGTACCTTTTTCTACTTCAAGATCTAATTCTAAATTCAGAGTTTTATCATTTTCACGGATGTGAGGAGTGGTACTAGTCCCGTTTCTTTCATCCGTTGTACTTTGAGTATCTTCATCTGATAAAAATGTTGCAATTGTTGAATTGAAAATGAATGGTATGCTATCATCATCGAGTCTTCTATGCACTGGAATGATGTTGTGGTATACAGCTGTTAAATCTTTATCTACCATCGTGTTCTTAGTTTTTACATCTGAAGCATCAAGTGAACCATTTTTGGCAAATTCTAAATGTTTTATCCCTTTGATATCTTCTTGTTTGTTTTCAGTTGGTTGAATGCTGCCGTTTACTCTCACAATTTTGGTACTAGTTTTTCCTGGGTCCCCACTGTGAAAATCTAAAAATAATAAGAAAAAAAAGATGCAATAAAATGCGCTTAGTATAAAGAAGAATGTATTATACACATTAAAATATTATGCATAACATTACAAGTAAAATATTACGTAAAATGTAATAAAAGGATTACAAATCTGTATTTTATTTCCAGTTCCTTTTACATTTAAATCCAAATTATACTTCTTAATGCATTTAGCAAATTCCTGCTTAGGAACTTGATAGTAGCCTCTAAAAATTAACCAGGTTTAACAATAATTGAAGATTTTGAAGTTAATTATTGTTTCGCTAAATAAAACTGCAACAATATAATATATAGTTTTTTCAAATCAGAAAATCGAAATAAGGAAAATTTAACCTAAATGCTTTACCGTCATGTATAGAAATTATTTATGATTTATCTTCATATAAGCTTTTAATATATCGGAGAATTGTTGTGTTGAATAATTCTCCGATAGTTAATAGTTATAGCAAGTTAATAGATCTTTTTAATATTTAATTGTTAAAAAGTGCGAACTGGATCGAAATTTGAAACTTATCTTTTAAATGAGAGAATGTTTATGTGAGAATTATGATTGACTAGTGTACGAAACATGTAGTACTTGTGTTAGGGTATATGATAGCAGTGTGTTGTGATGATGTGAAATTCGTTGAAAGAAAAACCGTTAATTATTTTAAATATCATTAAGGTTACGTTTAACGTTAGGTAAAGTATGCATGTGTCTGCTCAAAAGAGGAGGCCACTCAGGCAGTACATATATTACTCATTTCCTTATAAATGCTTCAAATAAGAAGATTATCTGATTTCGACTTTGAAAGTTTATTAAAAATATATATCATCAGTAATAAAAGTATTTACTACAGCATTAACTGCGAACTTTGGGCGGTATTCATTACCGTAAACTAGTGGCTTTGCCATTATTTTCCTGTTTTTGCAATCCATTGTTTGTGAGCACAATATAATGACAACAATTTCATACATTATAACATATGTATTTACTTCTAAATAACTAAAGAAAAAATTTGAGATGATTTAGGCTTTAGACTCACTTGCTGAATGTTAAGGATTGGATAAAAATTTTCTCACTTTTTGTCACTTTTTTTATTATACGAGTAAATACCCGCAAGAACTTCCAAAAATGTTTTGAAATAAAGCTAGAAATTTCGTTCCAACAATATGGCCATGAAAAAAATTTCATGTCCATTAAAAATGCTTAAAAATCGTATTTTTCACTAGTAATAATGAGAACTTAACAGTTAAAGAGAAATGGAACTCTCAGAGGGAATATATTTTTATTACTATGGAATAGAAAAATTTTAGATTTTTATGCGAAAGGTGACAATAAAAAGTAAAGATATAAACAATAAATGTAAATTTATATGTGATTCTACAGGAAATATTCTCATGAGTTCTAAAATATATAATGTGGGAGCTTTTAGGAAAAATGTAAATGTTGATGAACTGGAAGTGAAAAGTATGTAATCTTTTAAGGACTTGAATTTTATTATTGAAAACAAAGTTATTATAATCATATTTTCTAGTGTCAGAATTATTTGAAATTGCTTTTCACGTTACTAATAAGAGATGTGAAAACCACGTTCCTTCTCTTCACTAAACTAGGTAAAATTTGTTGAAGTAGAGCACTTTTGATATATCAGTTTAAAGCACTGGTAGCACTGTATGTAGAAAAAATATTCTAAAAATTATTCGCTGTAAAGGTATTATTAATATGTCCACATAAGTCAAAATTAGAAAAAAAAGTTCTACATTCTACATTTCTTAAAACAATTTTATATTACCTTTTAGTTTTGTTCATACTTTTTGTAATCTCAGACTGATAACATATACTAATGCAACTAAAAAAAACTGAGAACTTCGGAATCAATATCACTATCATTCTTGTTTATGTAAGAAGAAACCCAATTTTTACTGGAATGCCTAGGGTTTAAAAAGCCAGGGTAGCCCAGGATAGATGCAACAGGGAATGCAACGCTAGAAAAGACTTAAGTATATAATAATTTTTATTAAGAGATCGTTAGAATATGAGTCAGGGTTTGAAATAGCACTTTCAAATGTATTTGTAGCATGTTTATATACATTTATTGTCTTACTTAAGGCTGTGATGTGAGTGAAAGTCACAGATTTACTCAGTCTGAATAAGAAAACACTGGATGACTGGATGCCCTTTTTAAGAAAACAGTGTGCGGAGATATGTTTACGTGAGGTAAAGTATTAGGTGGTAAAAAAACAAAAGCAAGTTTAGCAGAAGAAAGTAGAATAAGGGTAGAGAGTGAATGGATAGTGGATTCTTGGAAAAGCCAAAAAAAGAAGGAGAATATGCATCTTTGTGATTGATAATACAGGTAAAAGTGAATTATTGAGCTTTACCAGAAACATTTATTTCCCCAGAAAGGATTTCTTTCTTTATTTAGATCACAAAAAGCACTTTTTTGAAGAAAGCGAATTACATCCAAAAATAAACCAGAGTCTGGCGTGCAGTGGCCCAGAAACACATATCGCTGCACATTCAATTAAAAGAACTCAAAAGTTCTATAAAAGGTCGTATAAATATACCAGCTGTGTTAAAGAGTATTATGAAGCTTTCGCAAGGGAATTCATACGGAGTTGCCAAAATGATAATGAAAAATCACAGGTTATCTTCTTCATAACCTGAGAAAGAAATATTTTTGCCACTGAATGGACATGAAAATATACGTAACTGTTTAATTTTATTTCATTACTACTATTTAATGACCTAAAACAATTTTGTTAGCATTTCATGAACAAATCTTAACATAGATGACATAGTAAAAAAACTACATATTCAAAAGCTACATTAATAAAGTATTGACTGTAAAGTATTGAGAAATTTAGAATTAAATGTTTCAAATTATTCTTTTTATTTTGTACATAACCTAACTGACTAAACCTTTGAAAATGTTTATTAACAATAAAACCTCAGTTTGCACGTTTGTTTTATTTATTATATTGTTTTTTTTAAATGTCCACTACTCAGAGTTACATAAAAAACTCAGCCTATAAACAACATTTGTTTTTCACCTTTTTGTATTTTTTAGTAAGTTGGAAAAGTTTGAAGTGGCATATATATATTTTTATTTATTTTTTTTTTTTTCCAGATAGTGGCACTCTTCCCAAAAAGGTTGGCCTTCCCTGCACTAAGTAATGGTGTGTTGTGAATACGGCAAAGCACACTAGGGCTATCTGCCTAAGGGGAGGGATGCCTTCGTGGAGGACTTTTTAAGGGATACTGGCTCGTATACACGTTACACATGGGGAAAACCACGAAAACGCCCATGCAGCCAGCCCGTTCGCGGGATTCGAACCTCGGACCGAACTACCAGTGTTCAGCGATTTTACCGCTCGGCTGCTGGTGCAAAAAGTAAACAAAATTATTAAACTAAATAATCTTAATATAATACATCAAGATGCCATGACGATGAAACGGCGGCGATAAATAGTTCCATTCCTGAAAATATGTATTTTTTAAAATTTTGTTTTTAAGCACTGAATAATTTTAAAATAACATTTATATATCTCATAATGAATTTCATGTAATTTCTGTAAGGTTATTTTAATTTTTTCAATGATTTTTGTTGAATCATTTTAGACTTGAATGCACTGAATCTTAATTTAATGCATTTATATCAATTTTAAATTGTTCAACAAAAATCAGGAAAATTTCACATATTTACTTCGATAAAATATTAACTTATTACTTTTTGTTGTTGCTAAAATGTTCAAAAGGGATTTATTATTATAAAGTCACCAAAAGTAATTCAAATTGACAGCTGCAACACAAATTTTAGTTATTACTAAGCTTTCATAATATTTTTCAAAGCATACTTTAGGAATGATCCTGCCAATTCCGACGAAGAATTCATACTTTCTTCTAATGTAACTCCTCGAAACTCACAGCAATATGAATAGCTTTCAATATTGATTTCTTACATTTGAGAACATAACTGGCCGATGAAGAAAGATGACACTGATAAAGAAAACTGCTTTTGCATCACTGACGGGAATAATGCTTTACATTTTAATGCCATGTCATATTTGGAAATGTTAAAACGATATTTAGCATACATGTATCCTAACTTAGAAAATAATTGCATAATTAGCAAGAGCTGATAATTTTTATTTAGTTGCTCTGAAATGTACTAATTTTACGTATACATTTTTAGTAACATTAACTTTTCATATTATAAATTTCATTCTGAAATTCTTATCGTCAGATGACACCTTAAAATCTTTCCCACATAGTCACTTTTTCTTACGTATTTAAATAGACCATTTGTATCACTACAGTTATATATATTTCTTTGTTTATAAACCACTCAAAGAGAAGTCATTGCCGATATGATTTTAATGGAAGTAACCCCTTTAAATTGGTTAATTTTTTTATTCATACACTAAATTACTTTTTAAACATGGGAAATGGAGTGTTTACCGCATCTATACGACACTGGGCAACAATGGCCTTCAGGGATTATAGGTTGACAGCCAGCTATTGGAGGAGAACACGTAATCCTTTCACATATTACAGAGGAGTCGGAGCAATAGCAACTATGACAGGAACGATAGTCTGGAACAATTTCTCCTTGATTGTAAACTTGACCGTCAATATTGCATGTGGAATGATGAGCTAGGCGATAAAAAAGAAATTATGTATACAATATATCCAAAAGATAAATATTTTCATATATTTTGTAATTTTTATCATAAATTCATTAGACGGACAAAAATTAGTGGTACTTATATAATGCCCGCCGAAAATATAGCGGCCAAAACATCGTGGACGAAAACGCCGCGGAGAAAACAACGCAAGGCGAAAACGTCGTCGTACAAAACATCGTAGGAGAAAAGAAAGCAAAGAGAAAACATCGCAGTTCTAAAACATCGTGGTACAAAATATTACAGCTGAAAATAAAGCGGTTCAAAAACTTAATCTGTTAAGAACATCGGTTTAGCAACTTAGCAGTTTAATAACATCGTCGTCGAAAATATCCTGGTAAAACAAAAAGCGCTGACAAATCATAGCATTACGATAACATCGCAAATATACGTTTTCCAGGGTTTAAAATTTGTTACATGAATATTCACAATCATTTTAGACTATATTTTTCATGAAAAATTAGCAGTAAAACTTTATAAAAAAGATGAATTTATTAATGAACTTTGTTAATGAACTATGTAAGTTTACAATTAAGTGCTATAAGTTGCATTAATTTTCTACTCATTCTCAGTTTTTAAATGCTTAAGTTTCCGTCTTATTGTATCAAAAAATTATTAGTGAATTCAAAAATATGAAATATAAAAATAAAAATATTCCGCTTTCCTTTCTGCGCTCATAAATCATTATGCGAATATTCATTTACAGCTTTCAAAGCCTGGAAAACGCATGTCTGCGATGTTATCGTCATGCGATGTGGTTTGTTAAATGCTTTATTTTTTACCACGATATTTTCGACGGCGACGTTTTTAAACTGCGAAGTTTTTAAACCGCTTTATTTTTGGCGACGATATTTTTTACCACGTTGTTTTAGAACTGCGACGTTTTGTCTTTGCTTTCTTTTCTCGCACGATGTTTTGTACAACGACGTTTTCGCCTTGCGTTGTTTTCTCCGCGATGTTTTCGGCTGTAACCGGAAAGCGTATAAAAACTTTTGCAAGAAAGCAGTGTTTTGCTTCAGATCACTGAAGTCAAAAATTCCTTTGAATCTGTTCTTAAAGTGATCACTGCAAAATTTCCACAAGAGTAAAAGAAACAAAAAAAAAAAAAAAAAAAAAAAAAAAAAAAAAAAAAAAAAACCGCTTGTCACTAAATTTAATGATTGATTTTCGGAATAAATACCTAATTAAAACGTAAAATATGGAGGTAATAAATATTTTTTTTCAGTTATAAGACAAAATTCTTTTTTTTTTTCTAAATATGTAACCAAGTTGTGCCAAGGTAGCTGCGCTAGAACTTAAATACCAAATTAAATACGACTTAGATGTTAATATAATAAAAATATTTCATAGAATTTCTGCCCGCTTTTTAGTTTTATCGTAACTTTATTTAAATTTGCTTTAAAAACCTGCTTGAATTGTCAAAGCTATTACAGTAACCGTACGTGACCTTCAAATTGAACTTATTAGGACTTACATAAAATTCATATGAGTTTTATGTGGTTGTTATTCACGTAAAAGCTTTGAATGCTACTCTCTAGTAGTGTAACTTAAAAAGCTTTCAACTTCTCAAAGTTTTAAATGATAACTTTCAAAATATATTTCTTAAATCAAAATGAAAATATTTTGGTAGACTACTTTCAGAGAAAAAAAACGAAGCTATGTAATGAGGAAAGTAAATAATTTTATAGGCATTGAACTAACAGGATGCTAAACTACTACATTTTTACAAATATGACAAAAAGAATTCTTACAAATATGTTATTAAGAATATTTTATAAACCAAACTACAGTAGTTAACTGAAATTACAACGAAAGAAAACAGGAAGAAATAAGAAAGAAGAGTTCTATTTTATAATGTTTTCTAAGCTCCTCAAAATTCTTCATTTAAGCTCATTGTTCTTCACTTCAGAAGATTAAAGGATAACCAAATTTCAGTGATGTCAGCAAATTAACGCAAAACATATTTCTGTGTGAGGTTATCAATTTGCTTGCAATGGCTGAAAAATGTAAGATATAAAATAAATAAACCACCTCGTTTAGGCTAACGTTTTTCTGCTCTCTGCTAAATGTCTAATTATTCAACTACTTACACTATTTAATAATATATAATTTCGGAGAAATAATTTCGAGCTTGGCGGTTCCAGAAACCCGAGGGAAGATCGTTCTATATGGTTGGACTAAGAGGGAATTGGTTGTAAGTCCCCAATATTGTGGTTATCCACAGAGGACACGGCTTGCCGTTTGACCCGAATTCCGCATAATTTCACGGCATCAGTAGCGGTGCAAAGGCCAGTCCGTTGTATACCACCGTATTTTTTGTCTTTCCTTCAGGGCGGGGCTGCTTGCGTAGTACTGGCGGGGACACTATGAGGACCAGCCAAATCTTGAGGTGCAATCCGAGTCGAAACAGATAGGCTGCAAAAGGGCCATGCGCCGTCAGGAAATATGCCATTACTCTGCCTGTAGTGGTTAATTCCTTTGAGAGCACTGGAAGGAAGTTAAATGTCCTCCTGCCTGTTAACTATTATGTCTAGTTAGTTTTCCACAGGGACATAAGGTTCCGTTCCAGTCTTGATTTAAGATGTGATAATGGAATTGGCACAGAGATGGCTGGGGCAAATTGCCCGTTTGTCGTATCTCTTGCATAAGTGAATTGTAAGTGAACTGTAAATAAATGAATAAGAGAAGTGGCTACTATGAATGTGACAAGCAAATATTACACAGGAACTGTGCAAATATGTGAACAACACATGTGATGTACATTAATATACCAAGTTGATATTGTTCGGTATAATGTATCTAAATATTCGGTATAATGTATCTAATGGTATAATGTATCTATGTTCGGTATAATGTATCTAAATATAATGTATTCTGATATCCAAGTTACCACTGACTTCTAGAGTAAACTCAGAATCACAAGCATAAAACATTGGTAAAATCCTCATACAACACAGTCAAAGTCATGACAGTGTCTCTTTAATAACCACAGGTCACAAATACCTATCTTCCGAAGTAACTTCATAAATTTCGCTACAAATTTTAATATTACGTAAAGATTTTTGGCTGGGCCTAGCGACAACAGATTGCTCTGACAATTGAGTACAAATGCTCATGGTCATCTAACAGCGGTACTGCAACTCATCTGGTGGTAAGTGGGTAAGCCAATTTATTAACCTCTATTAGCCAAATCTTCAGGCTAATAGAGTCGCACCTCATGGTGGTCTCTGATCACCGGCAGCGGTGACCCAGGTCGACTAGTTCAGCCATGAGATTTGAAAGATCTTTTTGAGTCTATCACCTGTAAGTGTAGGACAGGCGGCAGCTTGGTGAATTTTTTTACGCTCTCGTTGGGGGCAAATTTGGCCTGACAGAACCACTTTCTGCCTAATATGGAGGTTGTAAGTTGGGATTGGGCCTGATTTTGCGTCTTCTTCAGATCGCGGTATCAGCAATTTGCAAACTAATCAACTCTTTATTGCAGTGATATGTTTGAGATATCAACAAGAAAGCCTTGCTCAGTACAATACATTTTTATGATCTTTTAGCAACTTGTTTACATTAAAACAAATTAGACAAATGCATTCAAACATCTGTTGCTTGAAAAGAAATTAAAAGAATATTCATTTCAGATTGTACTTTTATATTAAAAATGTATACAATGGAAAAGTTTCTGTATCTAGGGTAAAAGTATTATACTTCACGTAATGATCAAGAATTCAACTTCTCTTCAATACTAACGTGCCATTACAGACTGTTTAAACTGGTGCAATAAGATTTTAAAATTTCATAAACGTTATAATAATTTGCTTCCAATCGTTTTCATATAATAAAAAGAATAACTGCAATTTTAACTACCACTGTTAAAATCCCTTTCAGTTCATATGAAGACTAACTACATTTTGAGTCTAATTTTTACTCCTGTCGTGTTAGGGTTTACTTACCAGAGTTTTCTGGTATATCCGTAATTGTAGTAGGTAGAGTAGATGTTGATTTTTCCGTAGCTTTAGTTGCTTCTTTAATCGCTATCCTTTCAGCTGAAATACAGAATTATTTTTCCTTTAATGTACATTCTTCATTAAAATTACGGTAAAATTATTCCAAGTTATGTAAATTATAATGTAACACCTGCTATGGGTGCAAATAACTTAGCTAGCTCAAATTTCAGTAAGTATAAAGTGTTACCTAAATTTCAAAGGGAAATCACTATGTAATTTTCAATAAATTTCAAATCACTGCAAGAATTTCTAACTACAAGCAAAAAACATTTTCTTTATAATAAAATTACATTAAATTCATTCTCCCTAACTACTTGTGTGGTGGTTAAATTAAAATATACAAACATAAAATTACCAAACTACTGGACCTGGTTTCAAGCTGTTTTCACAATTTATGTAATTTCAAAAATTTTAATCTAACTTTAACAGAGACTACAAGCTTTGCCCCGACAGCGGCAGAAATTCAAACGTACAACTTACTAATTCCGCATCTGAAACGCAGCCTACAATATTCACATCAAACCCGGCATGGGATTCTCCAACCACTCAATACATCAAGAGGCAAGCCATCCCATGGACAGTAGGAGAAAATTGTTGCAGACATATTCGTAATTTTCGTATCTAACTTTATAGTAAAATCGCTTGCCACTCAAATCTACATTAATTACGGAAAGAGCGAACTTCGTGGCGAAAAGAGACAGAAAGGGAAAATAGTAAATTATATAACATTTCGTTAAAGTAACACTTAAACATAAATGCTACAGTATGACCTCAGATTTAATTTTGCTAACAAATTTAAGTTTTACCATAGAATTTACTGTTATGTAAATTCTATGGTAAAACTTAAAATTTGAATAAATTTCCATCTCATATGGTGCTATAATTTTGCTACGTATGCGATTTTTATTTGATTTGTTTGGTATGAATAGAACACAGAAGTTTTCAAAAGTAAGGAAACGTCAGTTGCATATTTTTCTATTTGACTCCTATCAAATTTCATTTCAATAAATTCCTCGGGTAAAATTATTCCTTGCGCCTTCACATTAATAACAGAAACTATGTAACGATTATGTTAATTTTATGAACAGTTAAATTTTGAGTTAAACATCTTTCCTGCCAAATTCTTAACTTCAACTTACTACTTCCGGCCAGAACGTAGTTTTAGAATAACGTCTGAATACATAATGAGGAGGAGCGGTATTTAACCGTGAAGTTCTACTTGCTGAGTTAGATAGAATCAGAGTTTCTGATTAGGGGGCGTCCGCCTTTTGGCTACTCTCTCTCAAAGTTCTTATTACGCTCAGCCGTACTCAGGCCCTTGATAGCTTCGCAGTCATTTAGCGTTAAGGGGCCAACTCGGTTAGAATCTTGATAGCTTCGGCTATATCTCTTTAGTTTAGATTAGTTTTAGTTTACTTCTTACCCTCTTAATTTCAAGTCCGAGTGTCGTCTTTTCTTGTACACTCCAAGACGGAGTTCTGTTAAATCTTATCTGAATAATAAAGGGTTATTTACCCTTCCATCATCTTGTTCCTTGTTGCGCAAACTCAAGCGATTATTCGCTTACTAGTTTTTAAGATTCTTCACGTTAAACAGCAACTTAGCCTTTACAAAGTGAGGAATTCTATAACTATTTTTAACACATATTCCTACATTGCACTTACGAGCAATGGAACTTGATGAATTTATTGTTTTGAGCATAGAATGTTCATTTTAGGAAAGTTAAAAATTCTAGGTTCGTTCCGTTTTCATAAGAGATTTAGCATAGAAAAAGGTATTAATTACGCGAATATTAAAGCATATTATTTTCATGGTATTAATTCGGTACAAACTCTTACTTACAAGTTATAAATTTAGTGCTGTTGTATATTTAAGCACGTGAAGCAGTCAACAGAAAACGTGTAAGGATTATGTTAATTTTATTAACAGTTAAATTTTAAGTTAAAGTTCTTTTCCTGTTACATTCTTAACTTCTTCCGGACAGAAGGTAGTTTTGGAATCACTCTGAATACTTAATGAGGAATAGCGGTATTTAAACCGCGAAGTCTACTTGCAGAGTTGAGAGAATCAGAGTTTCTGATTTGCGCGCGTCTGCCTTTTGACTACTCTCTCTCTCAAAGCTGTTATTACGCTCGGCCGTACTCAGGCCCTTGATAAGCTTCGTAGTCAAATAGAGTTAAAAGGCCAACTCGTTTAGAATCTTGGTAGCTTCGGCTATATCTCTTTAGTTAATCTTAGTTTTAGTTTAATTTTTACTCTCTTAAGTTCAAGCCCAAGTGTCGGTTTTTATTGTACACTCCAAGACGGAGTTTTGTTAAATCTTATTGGTATAATTAAGGGTTAGTTACCCTTCCATCTTGTTGCTTCTTGTTATACGAACTTAAGAGATTATTCGCTAACTAGTTCTTAAGATTCGTCACTTTCTACAGTAACTGAGAAATACATTAGTGAGAATCTTACAAACGTTCTCTCAACATTGACAGAAATGTGCTTTTGATTAGCCTCAAAAAGTAATTTTAATTAAATACTTTTAGCGGAGTTGTCCTTTAAAAATAGAGAAAATGTTTCTTTCAGAATAATAGAAAATTATAAGATTTAATTACACTGGTGTTCAAAATGAAGACAGTTTTCGCATTTGGTTTAACATGTTCAGTATTGGTGGGAAGATTTTGATGAAATTTGTTATGGACATAGTTTGACAGAGTACAAAAAATATACCGTAGAGCAGTCATGATACATATGCATGATCATGAGTAAAGCTCATCAAAGCGGCAAAGTCTAAAATGTAGGCTGCACATCGAATAAAAAAGGAGGCTATTAAGAGACAGGGGTCCTCTCTAGAAGTCACACAGCTTTCAAAACGGGACTTTAGACTGAAAATGGGGAAGTTTACGATTCCCTGTTGCAATCTGTTTCTCTCCTGTAGCAATGATGTTTGCAGATCTTGCAGGGTTCTGGGAAAGGAAAGGCGAGTTGTAGGTGCACTCCCAAGAGAATCCCATGCCCGTTCAATCAAACCTCCGTTCCCATGCTGGTCTATTACTTTGATGTTGGAGGACAAGTAGCGAGTGCCTGGCTCTCTTTAGAGGAATGTATACAGAGAATCAGTGATTAGATTGAATTGGGATTCACCTGTGATGAGAATGGTCTCCTTTTGATTCTTGGTGCAAAATTGGTGTTCTTTGTACCATGCTAAACGGACTGTCTTGCTCAAAGAAGTAAGTAAGACGCAAAGAGTAGATCTGGCAAGCAGACCAGAACTTGAGTCATATTTTGGCCTTTCAGGTGTGCAGTTGGAGCTCAGTTCCTCTTTATAAATGAAAAAGCTCGTCTACATGGGATTAATCTGGTGGATGATTTTTTTTTTGGAATGTGAGGATATTAACTGGCTGGTTTGGGCAGCCAGATTTCCAGAGCTAAATCCTATAGAACATGTTTAAGACGCTTTGGAGAGGGTACCTGCAACTCGCTCTTCTTCTTTCCAGTACCCTTCAGAGCCTGTAAACAGCTCTGCTACACGAGCGAGACCGATTGCCACTGGGATTCATAAAATTCTTTATTTTCCCTATGAAATCGCATCTGGAAGCTACTAGGGGGGACCATATCCCCTTTTAACTTTCTCTTTTTGTTCGATGTGAAATCTCTATTTCAGACATTTCATTGCCGATTAATTTTACATGCGTGTATATCATTGACGTATCATTGTATGGTATATTTTTTATGTTATGTCGCCAAACGTCCGCATTAATTTTTATTAAAATCTGTTCTTCAGTTCTGGAGATAATCAATGAAATGTGAAACTCCTCTTAATTTTAAACACCAGTGTATTAATACTGCTAAATATAACTGAAATTTGCAAAAGGGACATAAATTAGAGTGAAAGTCACGTGAAATACACTAATTTAAATAATATCACAGAAATTATTCAGGATGTGGATTTCCAAAGTGAATAAAAAATTGCTTACTGACCCACACCAAAAGAATGCTCTGGTATTTTGCGCCAGAACGTAGCGAAAGATCAGATTTATGACATAAAGTCAGCTTCTGAGGAAAGAAAGAAGAGCAGAGAGTAATATTACAAATAACCTTTTTTTAGCTTTTTTACACTTTTATCAGAGTTAATAGTATAGAAGAGTTAGTAGCAGAGTTTCATATTTTCCCAGCTCTATGAAACATATTTACTTACAGCAATCATATCTGGACGGGCAGCAAGAAAAACGAGTATCGTAATGAGGAGTGCATCCATCTATGGACAAGTTGCACTTTGGTTGAAGACAAGTTGTTTTTCCACGGATACAGAAGCAGTATTCGCAGAAAGAATTTGACAGCATAGCTGAACCATCTCCGTACAGAGTTCCATTAACCAGACATCCTGAAATTACATAATATGTGAAAGCTATTTGATAAATTAAAGCTGATGATTAATGATGAATATTTATTCAATTTTTTCTTCAATGTACAAATATTTCTTATCATTGTTGGTATAAAAACACTTGTTTCTCAATCTGTGTTCAGGTAACAAAGCAAGAACAAAAATTATTTTTTAGATCTGAAATTTTATCTAATATTTTATTCATATAAAAAGCTTACAGAACACACTTCAATTAAAACAAATTACTACTTATTGGGAGTAATTCCTTAATAAAATTAATTTCCTTCATTATATTTTTCTACAAAATTTTTGTTATGTCCATTGTGATCACGCTGAATTCCTTTCATGTGTTGAAAAGAAAAACTGTAATTTGAACGTAATTTGTATTCTGTTTATATCCTAATTTTGTACATAATCAAATAATAGTAAAATGTTAATTATGCGCAACCTGATTAAATTATCATATTAAATGCTAATAGGAATTTTTTTATGAAAACAAAGCCAAATATATGCCGATTGCAAAATAACCAATAAGCTTCAGTTATCTTGAAATAGGAAATCATAAATTTGAATTAGTCAATAGCTTTGTTTATCTTTTAAAAGTAAACTCTGAAAGCAGTATTGATACAGAAATTAAAAAGGGCATGATCGCTGCCAGTCGCTGTCTTTGTAATAATAAAAATTTATTAGAAGAGGAAAGTTATACTTAGGTATTGCTGTGAAACCTGGACATTAGTTAAGGTAAAAGAAATTATTTTGGTTATTTCCGAAAGGAAAGTTCCAAGAAAAGTTTCTGGTGCTGTAAATATTGATGGCTTGTGGCGATATAGATATGATAATGAATTATATAAAGAAAGTAATATAATCAAATACATTAAAATTAACCGTAGAAAATCTGCTGGTCACATATGCTTCGATGATTCACTTCGATGGAAGGACTATGTCGAAAGTGACTTCAACATTATTGAAACCCCTAACTGGAAAACTCTGGTCAAACAAGAGAACGAAGTGAAAGAAGGTTCAAAAGAATACCATGGCCAGTGCTGGTTTGTCGTGTCGATCAAAAAATGAAGAAGGAGTTTGCTATGCAAATCAATGCGTATCTCATATTTACACTCTAATTATCCTATGCATTTAACTAATTTCTTGACGCATATTGAAATTATTAAAAATTGCTTTGTAATTATGCTTTTATATCTTACTGAAGTTTTGAAAACGTTTTATTTAATTATACAAACGGGGCTTTTTAGATTTTTGATTTTGCATTTCTGCAACTTTGGCGAGAGAGATAACAAAATACTATCCTTTAAACAGCAGAGAAACAACTAGAAAGATGTTATATTGTAATTTCAGACAGCTTTTATTTACCAATTTGATATACCATACATTTTTACAGTCTTACGACAGTGCATATGCTGGAGGCTAAGAGCAGAAACATTACAACTGAAATTTCCTAAATTCCACTTTTGTCTTCTAGATCTTCCATAATTTTTGGCTCATTTATTTATACTCTAGCTTTTTGGTAGATGCAACATAGCCTACACGTTTTTGTATTTCATATATTTAAGTTTCTTCCATCTAAAAAAGTAAGACATTGTTATTTAGAACATCATTAATCAATATAATTATTTAGAAAGGATAAAAATGAAATGTTAAAAAGTGGGGTTATGACATTCTATTCGCAAAACATTACGTCACTTATCCAAAAGCGATTCATTTTTTCCCGTGATGCAATTTTTCCCCTGAAGTTTTAAGCTCTGAAGATCTGTGAGAGTTTTAAAGAAGACATTACCTCCAGGGATGTCGTTGAAAAGTGTGATATCGTCATCTTGAGTAGAAGAAACGTAAACTAAACTATCTTCTTCCGTTTGTGTTGTTGTTTCAACGGGAGTTGGCTGAAATGTTGGTCTAAGCTCAGGAACCGAATCTGATTGGTTGCGTGGTTTTGTTAAATCTTCGCCACCTAAAATAATGTATAATTCTTATAATTTCTGCAATTATGAGCTTTTAGTAGATTATCGAAAATACATAATAACTTACCAAACATACAAAAATAATACTTACTATAATTCCTATGCTAGAATTATACTATACTATTTTAGCAAACTATTCAAAACTTTCTAAATTTTCTACAAATGCACAGATCGAAATGCAAATAAGCTTTACGGCATCATGCAAAATCATAGGGTTGAGAGAAGCCAGTGAAATGATTTTAATTTAAATAACACTCGAATGATGTTTGATCATTCCGCTTTCGAAAATATTCTTGGAAAAACTACATAATATTTGTAATTCTGCAAGGCAGCTGTTTCTCTGAACAGTTCTGTAATCACAGAAATGATATTTCATGCTCAGGTAACATGCCTGATATCTGATGATCTTCCATGAATGCTCTAACATTGTATTTTTTTATTTCTTTACTAGTCGTTCACCAAACTACTGATAAGAGAGTGTCTTAGGAAAATGTGATATTTTACTCTTGTAATTTAAGGAAAATATTCACTTGTGATCTAAGCATAATATTAGCTTAGAAAATTTGAATATGCTCATAACTTATAAGAACTCTACTCGTAATATATCACTTGTAATCTATTGCTCAGTTCAAACAGTGGTTTATTCTCCATTGCCACATATAGTAACAAATTTATAAGAATAATCTTTGCTGTGTATTATAATAGCATCTATAATTTTACACCATACGTTTTATTTTTAGCACATTGTTAGCATTGTGTTCATTTTATATTACACTGAGCATAGTAACTCATCTTAGTAAAATTAGTCATATGTGTCCTGCGACGCAATATACATATTGCGTCACAGGACACATATTAACAATATAACACATATAACATTTTATTTATGTAAGTCCTATGGCGTAGACATTAACTACCTTTAGATGTAATTCATATTCTAATTACTGCTACCTTGTTTGCGCTTTGTCCGTTGTTTTATTGCAAAATTTTAAAATATGTCTGTTGACATTTCTAACTTGCATAGCATTTAGATTTATTTATCTACTTATTTTTTAAAATTTATTGTTAAGACCTTCTACAAGTAAGTATTGCAATACAATGTGTAATCTAGTATTCTGGATCTGTAATGTATTAAGTTTAGTAATGCATTGCATTGTTTATAAAATAGGATTGTAGAGAACTATATGCTACAGTTTAAGATATCTAGGATATCTTGGTATTATGGTAAATAATACATTTTGCTCGAATAAATGCTGTGCTGTGAAATTTCCAAGCATTTGTCTGTTATTACTTAACTTCGAACATTGCAGACGTTTGTGCTCTGTGTCGCTATGAATGTAAATAAGACTAACACATGTATTGACAAATACATGTATTTTTCTGTGAACGTAATTCAATCAACAAATCAATAACTGTCATGAAATTGCGACGAGTTGGCAACAATTCCGTTTGGTTTAACAGCCATATGATCAGAAGCCTTCTCGCAGGCGAAATTAAATTAAAGCTACCAAATAATCTTTCTCTTCTAATTAGAAATGGTCAGGAATTATTAGCCTGCAACGATGCTAAGTCTGAGACTGTACTATTTTCCCAAGCGTAGTTAGGAAAATTTAAAAAAAGTCGGGAATCATATCTGAAACTTTAAATTTTTGGTATCGTTGAGTCCTCAAACAGTCTAACTAGTTGCTAGCGATAGCAAAGTATTGGAAGGATATCTGTTTAAGGGTAAAGATGATGTCTCTGAGGACTTCTTAAGGAAAGTTGCTCCGTATTTGCTTCACACATGGTGAAAATCATAAAAACCTCATGCAACTAGCTCGTTCAAACGCTGGGAATCGAATCACAGAACAAATTACCTTTTGTTCACGACTTTCAGGAACTTCTGTCATGTAATTACCATGTTTTCGCGATTTCAGGCACTTGAACTCACCGTGGGGCTGAGTGGTAAAGTCGCTGAACACGGGTAGTTCTGACCTAGGCTCCATTCCAAGCGAAAGTTCTCCACGAAGGTATCTTCCCTTTTAGACAGATGCTTTGTCATAATTAATTAAACCAAAATTCAGGCGCTTGCTGTGTGTTGAATCCCAGTCAATTGCGTTAGCTCTCCTTACTCTCGCTTACATTGATGACTGGCTATTTTTAGAGATAGTCTCGTTTATTAAAACGAAAAAAAGAGAAGATAAATTGCGGTTTTTTACATATATATTTACATATATATATATATATATATATATATATATATAAATGCAGATTCTGGAGTTCTTGTAAAAGTTCTTTTAAGGATGCGACTTAGAGTTTGGTAAACAAAACTACAGTTTAAACATAATAACGCTGAAAATAACATCATCAAAAAGTTTTAATTAAAACACACATACCTTCATTTCATTCCTTAATTTTATTTTCTACCTCGGACCGAAATGTATCTTCAAATTTTAACCTTACTCAAATGTCGTATTGAAATAATTGAAATTTTTTTTTAAGTGAAAGAGAAACATAACAATGTAAAATTTAAAACAGACAAAACAGCAGCCTTATTTTCCAACAGATTTTGAATAAAACTTTACAGATTTCGAGGGCGATCAGATATAGCTCCTTCTTCTTCAGGTAAAAAATTTTCGCTACTTTTACTCTTGAAGAAACAGGATCTATGTCTGATCGTTTCGAAATCGATAGAATTTTATCCAAAATCAACTCTAAATAAGGTTTCTGTTTTGCCTGTTCATTTTCTTATTTAAATCATTTAATCCGATTTAAATTAACATTACTATTTTAATTTCGAAATTTCAGTGGAGTAATGGAATCTATTTCGTCCAATCCTTCATTCAATAATTATCATTCTAATACATACATATTATTTAAAGTTGGAATCTAAATTATTCTGTTTTCAACTTATAAGGTATTCCTCCCGCCTTCTTAGCGAGCCTTCGTGGTGTAGTGGTCTGCACGCTCAGCGCGTAATTGAGACGTCTGCGGTTCGATTCCCGGTGAAGGCGTTGCTAATTTTTCATCTTGCCTGCTTCCAAAAAAATACGTAATGTCTCTATAAACGTTTTTTAATACTTAGCGCTGGAAAAGAGATTTTGTGAAGAAATAATTCAATAAAAAGGCAGGGAGAGGGCGAAGAAAGAAATTTTTAGAAGAATCAAACAAGTTTACAATCAAAGTAGAATGTTCAAATTGCAGTAACGCTCCTTTTGATAGATCCTAATATTAAACAGTTTCCAATGTTATTCGTCTAAACATGAACAAACATTCACCTACAGCGATTATTTGTAATAATTATTATTTATAATTATATATTTATAATAGTATTAAAGTATAAACGCAAGGAGAAACTTTTTCCTAAAAAAGTGACATAAATCTACACCTGTAACTCTGCAGTTATAATAAATGTAAATATTAAACGTTATTTTAACATTTTTAAAATTTCAGATCCTTGATGCTAGAATTGGAGCAATTCAAATAATATGTTTTACTCTGCAGACTGTTAGACGGTATGAAGTATTCTTTGCGTGTTAATAAGTAGTTCCAGTTTTCAGGTATGTATACTCTAGAAGATTATCCTGTAACATGAGAATAGTTTTCGAGTGGAGATTAATAAATTAACTCAAGTATTAATAATTTAGGGCAAAATGAAATATTTATGTATATGTGGTGGTATGCTGACAAATAAAAACTTACATTTAATTTAGCTTTGAACTTCTGGCCTTACCTTTCCACAAATTGGAATCTTTCTGAATATTATATTTTCATCATACCAAGACCATCACATTAATTTGCACTGGTTTTCTGACATGTTCCATTCTCATCGCGAAAATTTATATTATTATTGAATATAAGTCAATGTAAGACTGCTTATTGTACTAGACAATTGATTTTAATGATGCAATTTTGGGAAATAAAAGGAAGAAAAAAAGGTTAGTGAGAAAAATTTACGCACAGAAGTCAACTTATAGAATCACTAGGCTACTCAGAGAAGAAAACAGAAATAAGCTACTGAGTCCTCGTCAGGATTTGAATCACGGATGGTCATTTGCAAACTGGGCATGTCAACGACTTACGTCACGAACGCTCGAGAGAAGGATGTGGTAGTGCTGTACATTTGCGACTATTTAAAGGGCGATTGGGAAAGTCACATTACCCAGTCGACAAAACTCAGGTAGTAACGAATTATCGACCATAGCATTTTTATATCAGGTGTCGCTGAAGAGGTTATTAGAGTTTTTACAGCCGGAACCATGAAAAATCAACTGTTCTTTCGCAGAGATTTGAATCAGAACCTTCCAGTTTCATAGGAAGTAGGGCTAACCATTTACACCTCACTAGCACACATTGTGGGAATGCGATTGTTCCTTACAAGCTGAGTAAGTGGAAGCTGCAGAAGGGTATCAAATTGCTGATGAAACAATAATTATCCCATACACCACATTCAGGTCAAATATCTGCATATGTAAAATATGTCATTTAATAAATAAAATTTATGAATCTCTCAATTTTGAAGACTATTTACACACTGAATAATATTCTGAATTAAAAATCATAGTATTTTAACACAACATTTTTTTTAAGTTACTAAAAGTGTTAAACTTAGTTTCTTTCATTAAATTTGAATTTTTTTGATAGAGTAATGAGACTTTTGTTGCTTGTTGTTGATTTTGTCTTTGGTTTAGATCATAAATTCTGGAATGTATTCAGTCGGAGACTATCAGAGAGCAGCAAGCTCTCTTTTCTTTAGTTTTAAGCACAATCATAATAGAAAATGTAGTTTCTTAAAAATATACATTGGTCAAAAAGATCTTTGCTGTTTCATGTAAATTTTTATCTTAATTTTTCATGCCTAAACAAAATTTCGAATTATTTTCAGAATTAAAGTTATTTTACCAAATCCTCTGTGAGACGATAAAGTGAAAGTTTTTTAATGGAAAAGAGGTTAGTTCAAGAAAAGGAAATCCTTTGGTTCAACAAAAGGGTTCATATTCCATACATTTTGTCTCCAAGGATGCTTTTATTCTGTATAATTAATATTATTAAAAAAGGACATTATAACGAAAGATCAAATGAAATAAATGAGCATATCAACTGAGAAAGTTTGTACTGGTAGTTGCAATGGAAAAGTTACTATAATGAGGGGTCCTTATAGCAGACGTTTATTGGTACTCCTCTAAATATGCGGCGAGCCGAAAGTCCTGTGGATTGGTTCGAGTGGAGAGAGGTGGGAGACCCTTGGATCCCCCCGGGGTGCTCCATGTACCTCCATGGGGAGCTCTCCTTCAAATTTGGGGATGGAAAATAGAAGTCCAACCTCTCTTCGGAGTAGGCTCTGGCAATCATTGTTTCATGTAATATGGACAAGATAACAACAACTGTTTTCGGACGACAATATTAACATCTGCAAGTGAGCTACATTAATATCTAAAATTCAATATTGAGTACTAAAATCTGCTTCTGCAAAACAATCTGAATATATATAAACATTTCATTGTTTCCTTCTGCAATTACATTAACCAGCGTTTACCTGCATTAATTATTGTTATATTTAGACCCTCAAACTTTTAAAATTAAAATCGCTTATGTATCTAAGTATGCCCATCAGATATATCAACCTGACTGCCCTATCCTTCTATTGTGTAAATAGTGATATACGTCACTTTTCTTATCAATGAGAAACAGCTAAACGTCTTAGAGTTAATAAAAATGCCTGAGAAGTTTACCATAGAATAGTCAATGAACGTCTGAATGGGGAATAGAATTTTGATGATCAGAATTAATTTTACTACACAATGCCTTTAATAGTCTTGTCCAAGTATATAAACCCCTGTGTTGTGACTTATCTCACTTGTCTGACAGTAGCATCACCAATAAACCCACGAAATTTGTCGTGTCAAGGAGAGCAAGACTGCGCCTGCCACTTTGCAAGATCACCATATATAAAGGTAAAAAACTGTTTGCTGTTTCATGTAAATTTTGATCTTCATTTTTCATGCCTAAACAAATTTATTAATTCAAACTAGTTTATTTGTCACAAACGTATTTATTACTTCCTTTTAAGTAGCAGTCGAAGAAGGCTTTATATATTCCTTATAAATGGAATACAATTTAATCCATGAACACTATTTTATATTTTTATCAACGGAATAGTAATAAATATTAACGGGTGGATAAATGTAAAAAACGTTTGACTATCTATTATGATATTAAGTAGGCTTCCCTAAGAAATAGTGGTTGAAGCTTAGGAAATACATTTCTTATAGCTACAGATAGCATTTTGAACATTAGAGCTGCATTCGCTTTCATTATCTGAAACATTCCCGATCATTTATGAATAAGCGTTTTTACCACTGACTTTGCTACGCAGGATTATTCAATCGTTGTTTGTTTAAGGGTTTTGTCATATTCCCGAATATTTAAACTCTATATTCATAAAATTGCTTAGGAAATTAAAATAAATTTCAGGACAGTTTTTCACAGCACGATCTAGTTGAATATCAGAGTGATCTGAGTTAGTTAACTATAAGAGGCAGCCTCTGCTCATTTTCATACCGTCCAAGATGGCAACTAATATAATAACAGAACACCTGGACTTCAAAAACCAATTAATGTTATAAGATATTTTATATTAATTAGCCAATTATAATAATTTAAACCTTTAGCATGAATTCTTTCCGTAGCCCTCACCAGAATGAAGATTAGTTGTTTGTGTATTTTAGCTGAGGGTTTTGAATATTTTGATTAAAGCTTCTGGCAGCCTCATCTTGCTGTAACGTATCATCGCCAACTCTGCTTAGGATAACTTTCAGCTCTAGCATCTTACTAGCCGACGTATAAATAATGAGTCATAAACTAAAAGTGAAGACTATTCCTCTCTTGGTTATTTAGATTAATTTAAAACTTGAGCAAGCTGATATAAAATTGATATGTTGAGGAATTATGAGGAATAGAGTAATAATATGAGAGATACTTTCTTATCTGAAACTTTGTCTTTAAATATATCCTTTGTCAGAAAAGTGCCAGGGCAAAAGTCGTAAAAAAATAGAAAATTGCATTTACCAAGTAATGATCCTACCTGCTATCAAAGTAGTAGCCTTGGCTGTCTATACGCAACTGCCAACGTTTCCTGAGGTCTTGGAAGCAAGCAGGAATGTCTTAAACTGCGATGCTTGCAAGCTCATTTGTCACAGCCCGTTGTATTGTCTGCAATAATTTTGATGAGGCTTTCCTTTCAGTCACCTCACGGAAACAAGAAAAAAGTCACAATAGTTTTTGACACAAATGTGTAATCACTTCTGGTTCTATCCAATAGTTCAGCAGAAATTCGTTGTCTTTCCTCTTTCTGTTCATCTGTTAGTGAGTGAGGGACGATTATTGCATTTATGTTTCCGTTTCCCTAAATCTTCGCGTAAAATCTTATGGCACACATCAGGACTTAAATTTAGTTCTTTTGATATCATATGCACAGCTGCACGACGATCTTCTTGCAATAACTGCCTTACACGCTCCACGCATCGCTGTCAGCTCTGGGATTGTCTTGCCCTTAATCTCTGCCTTCACGAAAACTTTTGTGCCACTCGAAAACACGACTTCATGAATGTGCTTGATTAGTCATGTTCCTCGTTTCACTAGGGGTTTTCGCGAGCTTAACGCAGAACTTAATGTTCACTCTTTGCTCACAATCAGCATCCACTGTGTCACCTTAACGAATGCGACAACAATCCGGGCAGTGTATTGCTAAGCACAGCCCAGCCACCTACTAAGTTTGCGTGGAAACACGGCCAAGGTCATATCAAGTAAGAATACCTATCAGGCAACATAAAGACAACATTTATTTCTTTTTAGTACTGAAAACTCTGAAATAAAAAAATTGTCCTGGAACGTTTCTGACAAAGGATGTTTCGCGGTTTCAAAGGAACGCGGCAAGAAATTTCAGATTTCTACTGTTATCTGTTCTTAGGAATTATTAATTAGATCAAAATATTTCCTCCGCAAGGTTTTCTTTTGCTTATTCATTCCCTGTTTAGGATGAAGACATTTATTTACCATTAAAATAACATAGCAAGACTGAGTCATTTAATTATTAACATAAATATGCTTCTCAATTTAAGGGCAATTTACAATTCATAATGGAACTTAAAACTTTACTTACCGCAGACCAAGGATGGGCAACATTCGCCTACTTCCCTTGCTGGGAAACATCCAGGTGGAGGCGCCGATGCTGTAGGACATACTCTCAAGTAGCAAACTAGTACAGCTCGAATACACGTGCAGTTTAAGCAGGGCTCTGGAGTTTCGACTCTCTCACCATGTGCATATCTTTCACCTTTGTATGCACAACCTGTAAAATTGTTCAATCTTAATTACTATAATTATAACTGGTTAATACAAAAATAAATCTTTGTGATATAAACAGTTAATACTCAAAGTAAATCTCATGGTAAATGAATTCAGTAGCGCAGTAACTTCCTGCATCAGCCCTGAAAGACACAATGAAAGGGCTTTGATATGATTACATGCATCATCTTTTAAGGCTGGAACTCTTCTAGTAGCCCACTGAATTTTTGCTACAGAAGATCTAGACGTCCACTAAAAGATTACTAACTATTTAACCAAAGGAAGCAAAGGATCAACCTAGATGCTGATATTTGTGCTATTTCTCGCTTCTCTCAATTTTTATTCCAATAGAAAATAAATTAAAATATTCAATGTAAACGTACAAAGCTATTTTCCTCAAGAATACATTTTGTAGCAGTACTTAGTTTGACCTATTGCAAATGAATAAAACCAAAAATGAAAGGCAGCAGCTATGCTTAAAATTTGATTCCTAAACATAACTAAATAAGATTATTATAATATTTTGACTTTACTAGACTTCTAATTTTGTCAACTTTTACCAGAATACAAATTATTTTAAGGTATAAATAAGAGTTACCTTGAAAATTTATGAAATAGTGTTTGGCATATTAGGTTGGCTGTTACTCTACTTTGAATTTTTGCTGTTTGCTGACAAGAATACGAACCTGCTTCCCTTGAAACGTCCTCCCAGATAACATCCCTTCCGTTAGGCATAGCCCTCGTCTGCTTTACCATAAACCCGTCTAATCTGTCTGTTGCTTGCCAGTAACGATTTGCTTGCTGTGATTCTTCGCGAGTGATGAGTCAAGAGGAGTCAATGTTTTAGTTAGGTTTTGCTGATAATATGAGTTATGTTGTTAATTTAGGCTTCATGTAATATTAGGAATATCCACACAATATTAAAAATTCAAGACCGAAACCAGGACACATGACAATCAGTTACCTTTCGTAAACCACAGCAACAGGAGGGACTTTGCAAAAGACAGAAATTGCCGACTTTAAAAAAAAATATAAGAGAGTTCATCTGGAGACGATAATTATGTTTAGATTTTGGATGGTCCGAATTTTTTAAAGAAAAGAGTATTATCTTTAATAATTAATTATATTTATAATTTCAATTAATGTTTCCCTGAAGATTGTGAAAGATTAGTTAATGAAACAAATTGTATGCCCGATTAAATTATGTTATGAATAATTTTAAGAAGTGTTGCTACTGCGACATTTCAATCTGACTTATCAGCATTTAAAAATGGCAGCAAATTTTGAGTGCCAACATTTTCTGAAACTTCATTGAATGCTTTTGATAATGCGGATGTATGCTCCTAGTGCTTTTAAAAATAAAATATTTTATAATTTTAAATTTACGTTTATAATTTTTATGCAAATTCGCAAGTTCATTTTTTCCCTCCAAGGCTATTTATAGGTCCTCTCTTTTCTGATCATACTTAAGAACCCAAACTTAAAATGTTAAGCTGCATAAGGGAAAAAATACTTTAAATTTTTTAAATATTATTTATAAATCATAATATATGTGTAATGAAATACGAGAGCGTAATTAAAAAACATTAGAGAACGTGTATCCCTTATGAAAGTCTCAAGTATCCCTTGACATGAAGTAGAAAATCCTCTTTTAAAAAAACTGGAATTATCAGTTCATTGATACCATTATTATTTACTGCGAATTAAAAAATATACTTTGCCAGGAGACTACTCACTAATACATTGCTAGCCATTAAAATTGCAACATAAGGAAGAAATGATTTGACGAACGTCAAAATCATATGAAAAGGAGAAGAAGCTGGGATGTGTAAATGATTAGTATTTCAGCGCATTTAGACGACGCAGGAGGAAGAAACGACATCTGAAGCACTGCATACTCATTCGAAAAGTGCTTTGTAAGGTTGGAGTTTGCACAGATACCGTGTTATGCCTCGAATAATACGAAGAAATGCTTGCCAGCAAGTTTCAAAATTCGATAGAAGCAGGATCGTTGCCTATCGAAAGCGTAGATTATCGTTTTCGTGATATCGCCGGTCGCACTGTTCGACATCCAACCACTGTCATGCGAATATGGAATCAATGGATTGTTGAGGGTCATACTGAACGGCATGCAGGATCTCAACACCCTCCCATGAATAACGCCAGAGAGGACAGATATAGTGTGAGGGCAGACCTAGAAAACCGTACGACCACATCATGGACCATTAGTCAGGAAATAGGCATGTTTGCAGAACGCCTAGTATCTGCTCGTAAGGTATGTCGACATTTGCAGCAGCGTGGACTATCAGTAGGGTGTCTATTACTTCGGCTTCCGTTGACAATGGAGCATAGAGAGAGACGGAGACTCTCGTGCGCCAAACGACAAAACTGGGAACATGAGTGGCACAATATTGTCTTTTCAAACGGGTCCCGGTTCTACGTGCAGTATTCTGATAGCTGTAAACGTGTCTGGAGTGTCCTAGGAGACTGAACGTCGCCTGTTTACATTCGATATCGGCATAGCGGCCCTGCACCTGGTGTGATAGTTTGGGCAGCCATTGGGTACACGACACGCTCATCTCTAGTTCGAATCGACGGTAATTTGAAAGCAGATGGGTACATTTCTTACATCTTACGTCCAGTGGTTATGCCGTATCTTCGAGGCCCCAAACGCCATGTTCCAACAAGATAATGCAAGGTCACGCGTTGCACGTCGTGTTATGACCTTCCTCACTACACAGGGTATTCGATTGCTGCCCTGGCCTGCACGGTCTCCAGATCTATCACCCATTGAAAACCCATTGGTATTGAGTTGCTGAGAGACTGGCCCCGCCACCTGTCTCTTCTAATACGATTGATGAAGTGTGGCATAGACTTGAAGCAGCATGGAATGAGTTGCCCATTTCTGTCATCCAAGCCCAGTTGGACTCCATGCCTAATGGGGTAAGGGCCGTTTTAACTGCCGGGGGTGGCAGCTGTTTCTATTAATTTCGCACCCCTGTAAACCTCCAAGATGCTTATAAATTTAATCATTCTGTGTTCATGCCATACTGTTTACATGCAATAAATATCTTTTTTGTATTTTCTTTCTTTCATGGCGTTGCAATTTTAATGCCCAGCAGTGTAGTTCTGCCAAAAATTTATTCAAAATGTTAATTTGCTGGACAGAAAAAAAAATTAGAAGCCACGAAAATAAGAACCATCCACAGTCTTTCTTACACCAAACTAGCGTATTCGAACTTTTAAAAATTAACAATATGCTAACCTCCGGACTTGCGCATGCTGTTAATTTGAGTAATGAGATTATTTGTTCTAGACAACAATGCCTTTTCCTGTTAGGCGATTTACTATTATTATTATGAGATTGTTTTGAGGAATGATAGTTGGATAAATTAAGGATGAGAAAATAGCTTCCATAAGATATGACCTGCTAATCAACAGCCAAGAAATCGAGGAACTGGCTTTCAAAATAGAAGCAAGTCTAACGCGCGTGTTCGGTTTTAAAACAAAAAGTAAAGGTTCAAGGCTTAATATTAACACTTTAAACGCCGAGTCGATTTCTAGCGGCAAGCCTTAGACTAAGCAAAATAAGCTTGGTATTTAACGTATTAAACTTGTATCGAAACAAAATTTCTAATGTTCATTTCAGGAGGAAAATATAAAACAAAGTTTTGCCATAATGATCCTTAGATATTTCTTGCTTAGTTCAGAAATAGTTAAGTGTATTTTAGGTCTCATAAAAAGTCATCATTTCGATTAAATTTGTAAATATTTTCCCGTACTTTACGCGTGCCTTTGTGGTGGAATTGGAAGTCCGTCTGAATAGCAGTTGAGAGGTCGGAAACGGAGAGGACAATGCTGATTTTTTATACTTTGTGCTCCGAAATAAACCGAAAACGTTTATAGGACGATAATTCCATGATGGATGATAATTCTATGATGGACGATAATTCGTCACCATCTGAATTTAGGGACTGTATTCCCCCCTCCAGAGTCGCTTTTTAAGTGTAGTAGAATGTAAGAAATTTTTTCCCTCCTTACCGCATGCCTTGGGGGTAAAACTAGAAGTTCGTCCGGCTAGCAGTCGTAGTTCCGAAGTTCGAATACCGGCGAGGGTATGGCTTATCTTTCATGCTTCCTGTTGCGAAATAAACCTAATGACTCCACTAATTAAGCTTAACATTTAAGCGCAAATAAGTTTACGGGAGAAGTGTAAGCAAATCTGTATCTAGACAGGTGCGACAGGGTGAAAGTTAACATCTCTTACTTAGTATAAACTACTTAATTCAAAAGAATAATGTTTTCTAAATTTGTGTCATTTTTCTGTTTCAAATGGTAATATGCGGATTTAATCTACATAATGACATTAAAGAGCAGCATTCATAATAATTGCAATAAAGTCTTGTTCTACAGAAACAATGCAGGGTGGCGGTGTTTAACAGTAGTTTCGTGTCACTACGCTTAAGTGCACTCTAAAAGAAGTGAGTACAAAAAAAAGCTGATTACTTTTATGCCATTTTTAGTTGGTGTTGCGTGATAAAATTAAATACAATAAAATCATGGCAGCGCTGAACTCAGAAGTTCCACTAACCGCCGCATATTCTTAATTTAAGAAAAACGTCAACGGGTCACCGATGATATTCTCGATTTTGGAAATGACTAGGGATACAAAAGTATGTTTCTAACTAGCAAGTGGAAGAAATCAGAGTAGACTTAGGAAGTTTCTTCATAGCCGATGTTCCTATTAACAAAAAGTCAAGATCCAATAATTATTAAAATTAAACAAAATAATTAAACAAAATTCCAGGGTGGCGTAGATTGTAAATAAACTATCGATTTCGGAAGCAATAAGATAGACATCCTTCTTTATCTAGAAGGGTCGAAGTATCTGATCGCCCCTAAAGTCGGTAACTCTTACAGTTTCGTGATTAATTTTTTCAATTTTTTTAATTCTTCGTTTCAAATTTTACAGTTTTTTAATTGTTATTTTTATGTAATTAAGGT